TAGACGGCATGCTATATATTCCAACAATCAACATCCAATTATGTGAAATAGTGAAATACACAGCTGTGATACACAGAGACGCGGCGGACGCCTCTCTCGCTCTCTCTCCTCTGCGTCCGTCAGGCCTCCTTCCAGTTTAGCAGATCTTCATATTATTCACGTAAGTTCCTTCGAGAAACTCCTAGTTTTATTCTCAGATAAATGTTTTAAGAGATCCGATCAATTTTTTATGAATGGCCGGCATTCTTGAATTTGTTACAAGCCAAAACCCATCGAAATCCTTAGGCTGGGGGCTTTTTGGTTGCAAATATATAGGATTAAGTAAATCCTATGAAATCTATGTGGGTAACTTTGGGTGGTGGCCAGCGACGGCAGTGACAGGCAACAGCCTATGGTAGCAATCGACATCGAGCATTGACTAGCGGCTGACAAAGGAGATCGATATGTGGTGATGGTGATAGCTAGCACCGACAATTACGGCCATAATAATAGAGAATTTACAATGTATTTAAAAGTAACCCAAAGTCTAATAATTTGCAAGTACACAAAAAGGAAAAAAAAACAATAAATTAAATTTCAAATGCTTCAAAATTTTTACTCCACACCTTTCTTTTGTACTTCAAACATAGTATTGATATTTTTAAAATCCTTACATTTAGAATATTTTATTTCCATTTTATTTCAAATCAAATAGCATCGTAATCTATATCATTTTTGAGACATACTTTTACCTCTGTATATTCTCAAATAAGCTTTAAACACGACATTCTAGATCATTTAATATAGAATTCACCAAATCAAATGAGCTTTACAACAATTGATCACATTGAATTTTTAATCTTGATACATCATCAAAAAAATTATCTTGATTGGGCATTAATCTTGATGAAAATTCAAGTTGGAAACTTCTGAAATTAAAATTGGGATCATTCGAACTCCGATTTCAGCAAACTTATAGTCAAACTGAACGTCTCGAGAATACGAACCCAACGACACCAAATCCAACCCAATCCGAGCCCAGATGGGTCAAAATCAAGGGTTAGAAGCATTATTGGGAGGTTCGAACCACAATTTAGATTACCAAACGGTTTCCAAACATAATGTTCTTATAGTCGAATTGAGCGGCTCGATGATACGAATCCAACAAGCCCAAGATCATTGAATTCCGACATCACTAAGACATTCAAATTAATATCCATCAAAACAGTACATGATCAAGTGCTTCAACATCGGCCATCCATCCAACCACTCCCCATTTGCCCTTGATCTTCCACCTATTTACGGGCAATGCCACTCCAATAAATCTATAAATAGAGCCCCATTTTCTTTTGAAAAGGGATCACAAGCCAAAGGATTCAAGAGAGAGATCGGATATCACTATTGTCTCCTTACTCCTCCTCGACCACCACCTTAATCTCGCTGGACCACCACCTGAGGCCCAGAGCTCCGCCGGATCACCACCTGAGGCCCTGAGCTCCGTTGGATCACCACCTAACGCCCAGAGTCTCGACGGACCACCACCTGAGGCCCTGAGTTATGCCAGACCACCAAATGAGGCCCAAACTTCAGTCGGACCACCACCTGACGCCTAAAGTTCTACCGAATCATCACTTGATGCCCGGTGTTCAACTGGACTATCATTTGATGTCAAACTTCCACCGGACCACGACCCGACGTTGAAGTTCTGTCAACCCACCACCAGGCTAACAACTAACGCCCGAATATTCAAGTTGCACCGAACTTCTGCTAGTCCACCAAGTGCACAAGACCTTCATCCTCTTTGGTCGCTAGATTTCAACCATACGATTGATATTTGTGATCTGATCGCCCTCGAAGTCGAGTTAGCTCACTGTAACATACTTAAGTTTTAGAGGAATCATTTTTAATTGGGTCAGGCCCCGTGATTTTTCCCCTTTCTATATTTTTTCATATAAAAATATTGTGTTCTCTGTGTGTGAGCTGGATATTCGTGCAACGTTAAAACGTAAGGCTACAACTCTATCACAGCGTATATTCTAGCCTGCAACAAATCTCTAGCCAATTTATATTTTTAAGCAATTGATCATGTTATGATATTTTAGCTTCCAAAGATATCTCATTCATATGGTATATTCTACGTTATGAATTATAATCTTTTGATGTCCTCCATCTTGAATAAGCCATAAGATGCCAAGCAGCTTTTTATCTGTCGATCAGTCTTGCCTCCCACTATTTTTCATGCGGTACATTTGCCTCAGGACCTCGCACTGAAGAGCTTCATCGTACATCAAGCTCATAGGTTCATTGCTAATGCTCGTAGGAAATGGCTGCCATTGTCCCTTTTTTTTTTTGGGAAAATTGAGGGCTTGAGCCCATATTTTACTATGTAAAAGAAGTTACAAGTAAGGTATAATAAAAAGATTTATCCTCAAACAATAGGAGAATAAACCAAAAACCTATACCTCCCAAAAGTGCTAGAAAGAAAATAACACCCCCGGCAACGCCGGGAGGGAGAAGCGGGTAGAAGAGGTTGGAAGCAGAAGTCGGCTAGGGTAGAAAGAAAAAAAACCCTAGCGGCCCGTTGCCATTGTCCCTTTAGCCTCACTGTATATATAAAGAAGGTAGCTGCTACAAGAAATATTCCTTTTTTTCTGTTACTCTTTTTCATGCCTCACTGTAATAAGTGTAAGGGCATCTCCAAGCGAAAAATTTATTTTCAAATCTAAAATGCAGTAAAATTTTAAAATAATGTAATTCATCTCCGATCGAATTGTATTTCTTTATTCTTTCGCGTGTATCCTACGAAGGTAACAATCTCTCCTCTTTCGCACGCATTTCTCCTCTTTCGTGCTCGTCTTTTCTAAATTCGTCAACCTAATTTTTTTCATAGGTGAACAGTCCAACGTCAATATTGATGTTACATTGTTCACCTATAGAATTTTAGCGTAAGATTTGGAGTTCAAATGCAACAAATGACGAACTATGTATGGTGATATGCAATTCTATTGAAGATGATCTAAATGTAGTTCTGTCTACACATGTAAAATTAGGATGTTTTAGGTTTGTTATAAGCTAATGGTAGGGATTTATGGATGTAGCTTTGTGGCTGCAGCTTTTCTGCAATAGTGGTGGCTGTCGTCGTCAATTGCTCACTCTAGCTCTAGGGCTAAATCATTATAATCAATCATCTATTTTAAGAATAATATTTTCAATTTATTGGCACTCATATTAGAAAAAAATAAAAATAAAAACTCCCTAATGTATTGGCATCTTTATTCATTTTACTATTTTATAGCTTAGAACATCTATGATTCAAAAATATTAATTTATTATTATTTTTATATATTTCTTCATTTATTCGTACATTGAGCATAATAAATCATAATGATTAAAAGGGGATTTAAGTATATACCACATTATATTATTTTTATTTATATATTCAAAATTTAAATATTACATGAATAACACTCATAGATCAACTATGAGTGTTAGAAATACAATATTAAAGTTTATGTATTGACATAAATATTATGAGTAATATATATATGTGATATATTTAATATCCATACGAATGATAAAAATGAAATATTTAAATATTAAATATAGAAATATATAAATAGATGATATAAAATAATATTCACTTATTAAAAGCTATCAATACCATTACAATCAGCCACCGAGGTAATGTTCTCTTATCTGGTTCTGCCCACGCGACCAGTGCCAATGCACGTCAAGTTCTGATGCCGATGGGGACCACCCGGACCAATTCTCCGCCAGCGTAGTAGTCAAAAGTAGGAAGCCAGTACTGAAGCCGCTCTGCAGGAGTTGTGGCGCATGTTAGCGTCAGCGGCGCGCGATAATAGCGGATTCATTCCTTTTATCTCCCCTTTTTAACTTTCCCTCCTCCTTCACGCACACACATTCTCTCTCTCGCTCGCTCCGCTACTCGCCGGCGATTATTTGACGCGAATTCTTCGACCTGTGTTGAAAAGGCAAGTAAAAGAAACCTTATCTAATCGAGTATCGCCCTATCGATCCTGGTTATTGAATATGTTTTCTTCCAGTTTCATGCAATTTTTTCTGCGAAATGGGCGGATTCTTTTACCCAGTGTTATATGGTTTCAGGAGATATGCTTGCTGAATTTGCCATAATAGTGTTGTGTTGCCTAGGTTTTCGATTGGTTAAGTAATAGCTCTAGTTGTATTATAATAGGATTGAAGCGGTATGGAAACTGGAAAGCGAGGTGTGCGCCTTTTTTTATTTTATTATTGCCCGGGTAACAATAACATGCCTGAATTCTGGGTTCAATGAGTTTGTTTTTGAAATGTGCTGTTAAAGCCTCGGGTTTCTTGCAGATTCTTTGCCTTACAAATGTTTTCGGACTTGGTTGATCGTTATAATTTACGATGTAGTGGTTGATTTATGATTTTTTAAAGCTAGGGTTTCCCAAAGTGTTCTTTATCTTCTGGGAATGCAGGGTACAGGATCTATTTTGAGAGTAAATAAAACTATTTCGTTCATTGAGGGGCTGTTTGGCAATAAGTGTGATTTAACTTTAGTGAGATTTAGTAAATCCTTTAAATTCGGATTTAGTAAATCCGAAATGTATTAAATCCTGAAAATTATTTGATATGTTAAATGTTAAATTCTGAGAAACTGTTTGATAACATATTTCAGAATTTATAGCAGTTAGGGATTTAAATGTGAAGAAGATAATTATAACTTAAAAATAAATTTATAATTAAAAACTGCGATGACTTTCTAGTCATAATTAATAAAAAAGTAATAACATGTTAAATACAAATTATTCGTTAATTATTATTTACACTATTGATTATATATTCAATAATATATATTTTAAGTTATATTAATTGAGATAATTGTATTAATATTTAATTATTAATTATGCAATTAATTTAAATTATATAATTAATTATATAATTAATTTATTTAATTATTAATAATTAAATTATATTAATTAAGTTAATCAATAATACCTTAGAGGCTTAAGGGTTTTGCCTTTCATCTTCTCTTTTTCATTGCTGTTCGGCTTCGTTGGTGCAGAGATTGCACGCGTCTGCTTCTTCGGCTCATTCGTGGCTGTTCGACTTCGCTCCTTCGACGACTTTCCCTTGCTGTCGGATCGGAAGTTACGACATTTTGATCGGAAGCAAGAACAGGAGCTCGCTGGCTGTGAAGGTAACTTTCTCCGTAAATCCGCAAATCCGGGATTTACCGAATCCCGGGATTTAACGCGCGCACAAAAACTGTTTGGCTGGATTTAGCGTAAATCCGACTTAAATCCCGCTGTAAATCCGATACCAAACAGCCCCTGAGTGTGTATACTTGACTTGCTGGCATTATCTTTAGAAGTCGATTTTATGTCATCGTTATGGCCTATCCTCTAAAAATTGAGGTGAAAACTTCTTTGAGGACTTTCACATTCCCGACTTGCAGTAACGCGTCTTAGTGTTGTTCACTTCAGGTTTAACTCATATGAACTTTTTTTTGTAGGTTGAATATGACCATCGTGGATTTTTGCTTGATTCTTTGAATGACGCACTTGCTACTTAACTAGTAGTAAAGTCAGCGAAGATAGGAAGGATGTTAGAAGCTGATGAACTGTCCCCAGTTGCAAGGAAGCGGCCAGCACTTGCTCCGAAGGCACTTATACATCAGAAGTTCGGTAACCAAGCGTCGTACAGGATTGAAGAAGTGAGGCAGCCTCTTGAGAACAATTGTCCTGGTCTGGCTTTGGCACAACAGACCCGGAGTCTATATAGATGCTATTTGGATCTTCCAGAGTTGTCTGTTATTTCAGACGCATTACCAAAAAAGAAGGATGCTGAGCATGCTGCTGCAAAAATTGCTATAGAAAAGGTCAAGCTTTATTATATTGCATTGTATTTCTGATCTTTTATGATTCATTTTGTTTTCATTGTTCACTTTGTGGTCTGCCTAACAATAAAAGAAAAAAAAAAACAATGATATTTAGTATTTTTATTATGACTATATTTTTTAAAGAAGAATTCAATATCCATTCATAGTATAGACGAGAAGGTTCAAGTGCTTTATATATAGTGGTAAAGGGACGACAGTTGTGATTGCTCTTTTTTATCAATTGAAATTCTGTAGAAAAGAAAATTTATTTGTGGGAGATTAGATGATTAACATTAAATCAATCTATTTTGACATTTTTTAGATATGTCTTGGTATGAACCATGACGAAGTTAATCAAAGGTTTTAATTTTGTAAATAATTACGGAGTTTTATTATACTCAACTATGTTGTTTGGGCTTTAGATGAAACTTGTATGACTCCAGATGCAAATGCAATGTGAACCATCAATCAAGCTGGTTTTGGGACATTCTGGCGCCTAGTTTTGCTCCTAGCAATAGATGCCTGATCAGGAATCCCATCCTCAACATCATCTTCCATCTCCTGATTTACAACTGAATCAGATACCCTGGAAGAAATGACATGCTTGCCTTGTCAAATCTAACATTCATGCTAATGACAATATTCTTCTCTCCCTGATTATGGAGTTTGAAGCCCTTGACTCCATGCTTGAAGCCAATAAAAATTGCATTGTTTGCTCTTAGTTCGGCTTATTATTCTGAACATGATAGTAAGCTAGACACTCGAACATTCTTAAGTGCTCATAATCTCTAGCAGGATGCCTTGACCACATCTCTTTTGGGGTCTTCTTCCCAATAGCTGCAGAAGGCAGACGATTCACCAAATGACAAACATAGTCTATAGCCTTAGTCTAATAGACTTTATCCAACCTAGCATTGGATAACCTACACCGAACTTTTTCCATTAAAGTACGGTTCATCCTCTCTTCCACCTCATATGCCACAATGTAGTGACATTAGAAGAATCATAAGCAACAACAACTGTTCCAATTACTAGTTTTTCTTGAAGATAGTAAAAGTTGTGGCGACGGACTCCCTTTAGAAACACCAGCGCTCCATGATACATTTTCAAAACTTTTGCCTCAATGACCATCTTGTAGCCCTTGGTTTCTAAAGCCCTCCGACAGACAACAAATTCTTCCTGATTTTTGGAACGTGTCTCATATTAGTTAGCTCTCTCACATTACCATTATTCATTTTGATGCACCAATAGTACGACAGGCTTGATCATTTCTCATAGTTACTATACCACTATCATGCTCCATGTAGGTACAAAACTACTCTTTGGTGGGACAAATATAATAGGTAACACTAGTATCCAGAATCCAGCATGAACCACCTGTATATAAACTCTGAGAAATTGTAGATAATGATACATTTGAGTCTTCTTCATGCTCTTCCATGGTAATGTTTGCCTTTGCCTTCTTGGAAACCCCATTTCCTCTCTCCTTCAGCTTTGAACTATCTTTTATCTAATAACTAGTCTCTAAATATGAAGCACATTGATTCTTCCCAAGACTACGCTCACGAGACTTGCTCTGCTTATCACTGCTATTCTTTTTATTCTTCTACTTTTCAGATCTTTCTTGTTGGAGTATGTGAGCTTTGGCCAAATTCAACTTTGCAGATTCCTTGTCTCTACGACGAATCTCATGATTTAGCAATGTCGTAGTCACCTCACTATAATTCAAGTCTTCCTTACCCATGAATGAATGTCATCGTGATTTTTTATACTCATTGGGGAGCGAATTCAACATAAGGAGTACCTTGTCTTTTCATCTCAAACCTCCTCATCCATATTCAAAAGATCTGCCAACAACTTTATGAAGTCATTTAGATGCTCATCAATACTAAACCAATTTTTCATTTGAAATCTGCAGAGCCGATGTTTCATATGTAGAAGATTCTTTACGCTCTTCGTCAGATACTTGTTCTTCAAAATCTTCCACAACTTCATAGCATAAGTCTTCTTCATTGCCCCATCTCTTGAGATAAGCAATTTTTGACCATGCCACAAGCACATCGGTTTCATTTTCAATTAATCTCTTTTAAAAATCTCTTCAGGACGTTCATCGTTATCGAAAACATCCTCCAGATTTAAAGAGCCCAGCACTTCTATCACCTCACATCTCCACGTACTAAAGTTTATTTTGCCGTCAAATTTCATCACTTCAATTTTGACGGGATGTGTAATGACTTGATGAATCAACACCTTCTCCATCGACAAAGTGGATATATCCACGGCCCCACGAGATCTCATATCTTTAAAAAATTGCTACCGTCTCATGTAGCCGAAATAACACCAATTCGACTCTCTTTCTGCTTCCAGCAACGATCTGGGATAAAAATCAATAGTCCAATCACTACAATTTATCTCCCATTTTTCAAGAAAATAGGAATCACTATCCCGAATTTCTTCCTTCGCCTGGATGACCCACACAAACAGAAAAATAAATTGACCTCCCGTTTTTCAAGCCGCTATCAGAAATCCCATCGAAATTCAACTTTGATACCGATTATTATGCAAATAATGATAATGAAATCAAAATCAAAGCACAATCAATATAAAGAATATGATGATTTAATTGGTTCGGTGAAGATGCCAACATCCACGGGTGGGGAATGATTTCACTTTTGTGGAGAAACAAATAGGATTACAATTGACTCTTTCTCTCATTTACAATAGCCCTCAAACCCTTAATTTATAAATTTAAGATAAAACAATTAAGGAAAACCTAATTAATGTAATAATAAGGAAAATTAAATTAATACTATTATTGGATCCAATCAAAAGCCTAAATCAGATCTGTTGACTGTAACCGATCGGCCCCAACTACCCAGCCGACCATCCACGATCCCACGAACGAAACTGTCGCTCCCCATGATCTCTCACGACACAAAACAACAAAAATCCTCCCCATTAGTTTGAAAACAGAATCACGTGCAAGGAAAGAAAGGAAGATTCAAGCGAGGGAGGATTTCAAACTTACATAGACGAACGAACAAGCCGTTGTGCGCATGTGCCCTAGGCGACTGTCGATCCACTACTCCTAGTCTCCGACTCAAACATACATGTTAACGGCGAATGACGCACCATGACGCAAAAGTTCCTTTGGAGCCATGGCGCATAGCGCGGCGCACGCCATTTTGAACATGACGCAAGCTATTAAAAAATTATAAAATAATAAGCATGAATATGAAATATCATTAAAAATGAAAGACAAACTATCATAATAATGAAAGACAATTATAACATATATAAGTTTGACTAAATAACATCCAAATATCTCATAATTCAATTATTACAATATTTTTTTTAAAGATCAAATAAGAATTTAATCTACTCTTCTTGGGAATCATCATCATCAACAAATGTTAAAAAAGCTTCATTATCTTTTTCAACATTATCTCCTACTTCATAATCCTCTTTATCACCCTCCTCATTCTCATTCTCAATAGCAACATCATGCCTAATTGAAAAATCTTTCTCTTTCCCTTTAGATATTTCATGAATATTATAGCTTTTATCATAAACACCAATAGCCTTAGCAACACTTGTCCAAGTTAAATCTTCCTCTCCAGCAATAAAGTCATTTTTATCATCAGACTCATCATCAAATTTTCATGTTAGCCATTCATTTACATCATCTGTCTCAGTTAAAGAAATATGATCAATCACATCACGATGATTGAATCTCCGAATCAGTGCTCTATTATATTTCACATAAACTAAATCCTTTAAGCGACCATGATCCAATTTACTTTTTCGTTTTCTATGAAGATGCAATTAAAATATTATTACATTACTATATTATGAACATTTATAAAAAAATAACACTTATATTATAAAATACTTACATGTTCGAAAATACTCCAATTGCGTTCGCATTCAGATGAACTACATGTTAGACTTAGGACTTTGATAGCAAAGCTTTGTAAATTGGGAGCTCCTTGTCCATATGCCAACCACCAATCAGTTGAAAGAAATGATTTTTTTTTCAATATTATATGCTTGCAAATTAGTATTAATTTTTTTGTAAATAATGATACATGGAGATCAGGTAGTTCTTTATTTTATAGTTGGAGGAATACCAAATAGCCCTTCACTCATGATGTATAAACTTAATTCATTATTGATTTTATCTTCTTCAGCTACATCTTGAGGTAACCTTCCAATTCATTGGTAAAGACTATCAGTTATTTTCTTATCCTCGACAATATCATGGTTATTAAAGAAATATTCATGAATTAAAAAATATTCTACTGCATGTAGAGGCCGGTGTAATTGCACTTCCCATCTTCTATCAATCATTTTAAAAATTTGATCATACTTATCACTGTTATTGAAGCTTGCAACAATTGCCTCTTTTGCTCTATCAATTACTTCATATATATAAGCCATTGGGAGCTTCTCTCCATCAACCAATCTAAGAACCTTTAATAAAGAATCAACTATTTTTAAGGCATATACTATAGTGTTCCAAAATGATTGCTGTAAGATTGTATGTTGAGATTGTTTTTCTTTAGCCTCTTTCGCATAATGACCCAAGATAAACTCTTCACATGTAAATATTTTCTTCAAGTTCAGTTGTTGTTGATGAAACGTTGTAAAGTTAAGAAAGCTGTTGCAAAATGAGTCTTTGCGGTTTTGCAAGTGCTCTTTGATTTGTGCACCTTTTCATTAACTCAAGTAAGCGAGGCTTAGAATATATAAAACTGTGTACTGCCACTGCTTTCTCAAAGCATCACCTTAGCTTTTAAATTTTGAAAATGTCCTCCATTATTAAATCTAAACAGTGAGCAGCACAAGGAGTCTAATAAATATGAGGATATTTTTCCATCAATAATTTTTCTGTTATATCATTATAATTTAAGTTAAGATATATAAAAATTCTTCATAAAATAACATAACTTTAGAATAAAAGTTGTGACAAACATGCAAGAACATTTTCAGATGTATTATCAGTGACCACTTGGATCACATTATGTGGTCCAATAACCTCGATGTACTTGCAAAAAAGTTCAAACACTTTCACAACATTCTTGGAGAAAGAACTAGCATCAATTGACTCTATGAATACGCTACCTCTTAGACAATTAACAAAAAAATTAATTAAGCTTTTCCCATTCCTCGACGTCCATTCATCTGCCATTAGAGAACAAATATGTCGTACACAATCTTGTTGATGGCGTCGTAATAGCTCATGTGTATGTCCAACCTCTTTCTTCAAACAAGTAACTTGTACCTCATAATAACTAGGAGGTTTCATACCATATCCAAACTGCCAAAGTGCCTCCACTATAGCAGGGAAACTATCATAGTTCACAGTATTAAATGGAATCCCGGCATCGTACATCCATATACTGAGCACTTGAATAGCCCTTCCCCTCATTTCTTTTTTAGATGCATCCATTTCTTTGCTAAACTGACCTTTTTTATGCTTTACTACATCTTCAGGATTTGGTGTAAGGAAAGTATCTAATGGACCTTTAGGTCGTGATGTTTTGAAGATAGATGTAGATGTCGAATTTTGACTAGATGTATTAGATTTATTTCTCCGCAATATTTTGGATGGTTTAGGAACTAAAATATCATCTATCATAACATCAAAGTCTTCTCCTCCTTCAGCAGGGTTGACAATTGATAGATCATTAAACTATTCTTTTAAATCTTTTTTTTTTTCAAAATGGATGCTTTAATTTCAGACTTCACGTGCTCAGGATAGTTAGAGCAATGCCTTGCATTCCTAAAACCCCCAACGAGGTGTTGTTTGTGGCGTGTAATTTCTCCTTTTCTTATTTTACCATAAAAAATGCATGTCACACTGTTGTTGTCGGATTCATTTGTTAGTATATCATATTTCCATGCTGGATCTTTTTTTAAAGATTGAAGTGAATCTGACATTTTATGATCACCTAAAAGCAAACAAATTTAGATAAAAGAAATATAATATTGTCCAAGAAACATAATATGTGGGTTGTTGGAGGTCCAAAGTGGCGTTGCCCCCTGACGGGGTTAGAGCTGCCCGATCAGGTTGTGGGGTCAAGGGGCAGCGCCCTTGCGGAGATTTTCAGGGGTAGCGCCCCCAGAACAAATTTTATTTGTAAGAGTAATTTTAAAATTCGTAAGTCGGTTGTATGGAAAGATACCTAGAGGTACGGAGCGTGTACCTAGTGGTACCGAGCATGTACCGAGCATATACATAGTGGTATCGAGCGTATACCTAGCGGTACCTAGCATGTACCGAGCATGTACACAGCGGTACCGAGCGTGTACCTAGTGGTACCGAGTATGTACCAAGCAGCACCGAGCAAGTACATAGTGGTACCGAGCAAGTATATAGCGGTACCGAGCAGTATCGAGCATGTACATATCGGTACCGAGCATGTACTTAGCGGTATGGACGTTGGTGTGATAATAATGTCTTTCGTACTCATCAGTACATCTTAGGAGATGAATATGGTAAGGATACATTAGGTAAAGAAGAGAAGATGCTATGGACATTTAATCTCTAATGAAAGATACTTCGAAAGATTTCATGGTGTTTTCAGAGAATTCAATTGAAATCATAGTATAATACATATATAGTGATGAAATCTATGTGCTCTAAAATGATTGTGAAAAGGTATGGTGATCTAAATGAAATGGTTATGACTATCTATGATAAGTTATGAAACAACACTTGTTATGAATCATTAAAGTAAAACAACCTCCCTATCTACGAAGACCATGACAATCCAAATACAGTATGAAATGTTTATCTGCAAGTGTGTGTAAAGATCGTCACTAGATCCGCAATATACTTATACAAGCGGAGATAAGACATTCGTAGGCCTTTAAATAAAATCTTGGGCATTTCTAAATGAAATCTTTGGCACTATGGATCATATTTAAACATTTAAACCCCCCATCTTTATGTATTAAACATGGTCCCACTAAACTGAAGTGCAACACACCCTCTGCATGTGCTCCGACAAACATGTTAAAGTAACAAATACAAATGTCCGAAAATGCTGCGCAGGGTCAGATGCCCATTCTAGTTTCAAACTAAACAAAACTCGTATGTACTCCGACCGTCGCATATGATTCCTAAATCTAACGGTCCGGGAATGCTGCGCAGGTCAAATATTCAAATATTATCCTCCTCCATAAAAGGATTGGAGTTGACATGACTTGAAATACAAAATGCCTCGTAAAATTCTATGAATATACAAGTGACATTAATGTCACCCCGATGATGACCGTGTTGAATGCAAATATCAACTGGAGGGGTCAAATCTCAAATCCAATAAAAGGCCAAATCCTTAAAATGAAATATATCACATTAAAATTTTTAAAACTAAAACACATCCACCTCCCGCAATTGTTTGTCGGGGATGTTAAATTTGAAATTAAACTCAGCTCAAAAAGAGTAAATGCGTGTCAGGTGTATCGCTAAGGTTCATCCTCAAATAGTCTCGTGCTAGTAGGAACGTGACACGTGCTCTCTGATCGGGTGATTTTGCCGCAAAATGACATCATTATATTACGATCACGGCCAAAGCCCGTATGTTCCCTAACGACGTCAAACCCTTAAGTGATGAATCATAGGATATATTCGATAGGAATAAAGCCCTCTGTTAGCTAAGGTGGATTCAGATCTATTCCCTTAGATAAACACCAACCCAGGTTTACAAGGTATTTTTGGACGAAGCAACCCATGGCTACCGATAAGGTATCTTCTGTCAGGTTGGGTCGACTACCTCCTCTAACTAAGTAAACTAGGGATCATGACAGTCCTGGACGACGGAATCATGGGATCTTGATTTGGGCTCGTCTTCATTTCCCCCATCACCAGTTTTAGTTCATGGTGATAAATTCCAAATCATAAAATCAAATTTAAACTCTAAAACTGTTGCTATTATACGTGGATTTACAACCTACGTAACCGCTTTAACGACTAGCCTTAATCGAAAGTTCTATCTCATTAGCGAGAGGGGTAATTAACTATAGGGGCTTGTGCCTATAGGAAACCATAACTTAGATAAAAAAGTCCTCATAAAATTAGGGCAAAATCTCTGGGTAGTGTAAAATCCAATCCGCCTTCTGAAAATTCACCCGGAACTTAAATTTGTTAAAACTCTCCGCCTTCATAACAAAAAAAAAAGACCTAGAGCATAAAGGCCAGGGTGCAATGTGGAATTTTCGGAGCCACAAGATCTCCTAATTACAGCATTAATTGGCCACTAAATACTTTCCCAATCCAAGCTCATTTAGATTTGGAAAGATTAGTAAATCAACAAGTTTGATATGAATTGACTTTTAAGAGATTAAAAGACAACGAAGTTTTCATTTTTTTTATTTAAATAGATATGAAATATATTTATAATGTTTTTAAATTTTGTAATATTATAATTTAATTTAATTAAGTTAATTCATGAGATTATTTGCCCGTTAACTGGGACTTAAAGGCCAACCCAAGGCCCCAGAGGCGATGCGTGGCAATTTTTTCTCATTTCGTCCGGAGATGATCCTCTGGCGAGTCCCCAGCATCCTTTTTTAAACAATTTTGTTCTATTTTAGCACTGCTTGATTCATAACCTATGCTATTTCTTTTTATTCGTATTCCCTTTAATTGCTTTCACTTTGACAAGTCTAGAAAGTTTAAAAAGGAGTGATAGCGGCAAATTCTGTTGTCTGTCTGATTCACGTATGACTAGATCTTGCATTATTTCTGATGAATGATTTATTGAAATTTCCTTCTGTTTTATTGTTATCGCCATAATAGTTTTGTATGCTGAGCTCTTCCATTTTTCTTGGTAAGTGTGCCTCTTTTAGTTGCATGTTGCATCAATATTTTATGCCACCACTACCTTATTTGTGTTTTCTTGTCATGTAACAGTTAGGTATTCAATCTAAGGTAGACAATCTTACCCCTCGGGAAGCAATGGATGAACTAGTTTTACGTTTAGGTGGCTTCTTCACAGATGAGGTTAGTATTATGACTTGCTACAAGTTGTCAATCTTTTTATCCGGAGACCACTAGTAAATATTTTTAAAAATTTGTTGTTTGATAGATCATAAATGGATGGTAATAACTTACTTTCGTTAATTTTTCTTATTTGGAAAAGAACTCCTTCAATTGGGTTAATAGCCACAACAGATTTATTTTTCTCTCCTTCCTGTTAGACCATACTTATGGATGCAAGACTAATACAATTTATATCAACTTAGTACGATGTATTCTAATTCCTATTAAAAATTGCGTACTTTTGAATAATCTTACTAATGGGGTGAAGCCGTTTTTCTCTTATCAACATTCAGCGTAGAGAATCTTTATTGCTTGCTGATGGATACATAAGTTAATGGGATCGATACATGTATCTTCTTGTTGGGGATATGTGAGTAAATAGTTATATATATATATTTATATTATTAGTCAAATTACTACCGCTCATGCATGCTCCGCATTCTACCACTTGTCCTTATTCTTGCATATGCCATATTGTAAATTTTCTTCTTTTCTGGGTATGAGATGTATGCCACCACATTTTGCTGCCGTATATATGATACTGGGGATGTAAACAAGTCGAGTTGAGCTCGAGTCGGGGTGTTCGAGTCAAGCTCAACTGTCAAATACCGAGCTCGAGCTTGGCTCGTTCCAATGTAAACAAGTTTGAGCCGCTTGTTGAACCGCATTTTGAGCCTCCCGCGTGGTTCGTTTGGGCTTCATGGGTGCAATTTTTTAAAAGTTAAAACTAGAGAGAGAGAGAGAGAGAGAGAGAGAGTTATTAGCATTTATTGCTGTTAGAGAAGGAGGGTAGCTTTTTTGGGTTTTGTCAGAGAGAGTTATTAGCATTTATTGCTGTTAGAGAGAGAAGAGAGAGAGGCAAACGATTGAGATTCACTTTGAATTTTCGAAATGTATGCCCGCGGGAATTTAAACTAGGCATGAGTGTGATTTATACAGCATTTAGTACTTTTTTTTTAATTTTCAGATTTAATAATTCCGAGCCATCTCGCGAGCTCTCGAGCCGAACCTAATGAAGCTCGAACTCGAGCTTGACTCGTGAGCTCGATAAGCTCGGCTTGCGAGCCCATAAACGAGTCGAGCTCGAGCCGGCTCACGAGCCGACTCGTCCTGTATGATACACATCTCATGGTGATTCTTCGTCTTTCTTTATTCCTATTTGTTGGATTGATAACTAGATTGTAAAAGCATCGGTGTGGTGGTCAGAGGGAGTGCTTTCCTTGGATCATCATAATGGCAGAATTATGTTGTTGTATATCTCTGTTTCAGGGTTCCTTGGGGTTTGTTGTTTTGCCCCACTCCCTTTTTATTTGATCAGACAGCATTCTTTTCACTTTTAGCTTTTGTTAAAAGAGATTATTAAATAGGTGAGACGGGAATAAGAATGGGCATAATGAAAAATCTGAATTGATTAAAGCGTTTTATTGATTGGTGTTTCCTCAGGTGGAACTCTAGTGCCTTAGTTGGAAGTGTCGAGTTCATATTTGAGCGCATGAAAAAACACTGACTTGATGCATTATACAACTATCATGGTCTATTACCTTTCATTTTTTTGGTTAATTATGTTGCTCTGTTAACTATATTATATAGGATATCATTAAAGTTATGACTAAATAATAATTTGAATTATAACATTTGATTTATATTTAATGAAATATGTCATCTAAACTGTGTCCCTCACAAATTATTTTATAATAAAGTTAATCGTCAAACACCAGGATTACAGATTTTGTTATTCTCTTATTTAATGGCTTTGCAAGTGTCTGACATTTGTTGTTGGTTTTGCTTTGGATGTAGTTCCTTTCTTCAACCCATCCTCTGGTTGGACACATCAAATTTGCACTTAGTAGAGTCGGTGAGCGTTTTGGTATGATTCCAATGTCTGTAATTGCTACATGTGACACAAAAGTTAACAATTTTTGCAAAGTCATCAATCCAAAGGCTGAATCAGATCCTCTCTTGGTTTTGTTGTTGATCTTGAGGGCTGCCAAAATGTCTGCATCTATCTGTATTACTTATGGCGAATTTTGGATATGGAAGCAAGGGTCTTATCCTACTGAGTTTGTTGAGTCAGTTAAGAATCTTACTTCAGTATCGACACAAAAGTCTTCGGTAGAAGCAATTTTTATTCCCAGCTTGCATGATAGAGATGTTGAAACCTTGACTCTAAATTTTTCGGATAGCCTATATTACTTGGATGAAATTGCACAGAAACTGCATGTCAGGGATCCATCCCGCATCCTAGTGTCACGGTAGGATAGAATAATTCTATTATGTTTTCATCTACTTTGTTTTCTTGTAGTCATTTGCTGATTCGTGTATATGATGCTCTTCTGGTTCTAGCACTGTTGGGAAGGCTTCTTCAGAAATTAGATTATATTTCTCTGCTCCAGATGTACCTTTTTTAACTTCAGATTCCTCGATGGAAGTCCCAATGATCGAAGGAAATGTTAATTTGGACAAAATCTTGAACGAACGAGCTTCCTACTTATCTGGGCAATGTATTTATGGAAATGCAATTATGGCTCATGTTGGATATACATGGAAGTCCTCTAATCTTTTCTTTGAAGACATCTGGTTGAGTACGTATTACAGGTATGTCTTTTTTTATATTGTTGTGCCCTATCTTCCGTAAAGATGTAATGACAACAAGAACTTGTTGGTTTCCTTTTTATTGTGCTGCAGAGTTCGTTACTTTAGTTATCTTGTCCCATTTGTTAACCTTTGGAAACCTTTATGATACGTTGTGAAAAAAACTTAACCACTTGTTTTGTGATGCTCTCATGGAGAGTTCCACAACCTTTATGTAACACTGGCAGGCAAGCCCGTGCAACATGGTATAGATTAGCTAGATAGTTCTTAAAAATCCATACTTGCATGAGGAGGGTCTATGTAATTTGATGAACATATTATTTCTATCTAATTATTTCATCAATATATGAACTTGAAAAAATTATACAAAAGCAAAGCCCATTGAGCTTTTTCTCAGATCTCGCATCAATTTAGAAAATAGTATTACAATATCGAATACAAAAAATAAAAGAAGATTGGAAGACAAATATTTAGCAATACGGCATCCTTTGTTATATTATTAGAAATTATAAAATTTTGGTAAGCCAAATTCTCTTTTTTTTAGAAGCTTAAGCCAAATTCTCGAGTATTTCAAGTGTAAACAAATGGATATTGGAAGAAAATGAATTCATGGCAAAATGAACATGTAGAAAAGTATATTACTAGTAAGAACACTTTCAAAATCTTTTATGAAGACAAAACTATAGTCATGAAAGAGCTTTCGAGTATTTGAATGGTTAAAGCTATATTAGAGGAAATAAAAATAATCATATTTCTATTTTGATAAGAATTTGAAACTAGGAAGTAAAATGAAATAGAAAAAAGATTTGAGTTATCTTTTTAAGATAGCCAACCCTCAAATTTATAGAGAAGATAAATAAAAAGCAGAAAAAAAATTCACAGCATCTTTTTATTGAATTAGAGATAAATAAAGATAATTTCCCTTAGGAAATAGGAAATATAAAAAAAATTAAATCATGCTCATGCGAATCAAATATATGCCATATGTCAATTTAATTGTCATATATTGGCTAACTTTTGCCAAACCTCTTCAAATGTTGTTGTAATTTTATAATAAATAAATTCTAGATGATTCCTACTTGTGCCATATGTCACTTGATAAAGAAATTAAAGTATTGTGGTTAGAGAAAATTATAAGTGTTATATTAGATTTAGTTATTAAAATAATAAATAATTTGAGATGAATTTAATACTTAGCAAAAATGGCCCTTGCAAGATTAAAATATTCATGTGACAATCCTAGAAGGTGATCCAAATAGAAGTTTCATGCCTAGAGTCTGATGCGACCACCACTAGGAAGGAAATCGGCCTTGACGAATACTATTTGGCCAAGTACTGTTGTCAAAGCATTAGTCTTACATTAACAAGTACCACTGATCTGATGTAAGAGGTCGACTACTTACATTTAACTATTTTTAGTTTGCTTTTCACCTTGTTCTCAGTTAACTCCTAGATAACTTGAAGTAGCTAAGGTGCCTTCCCATAATTTATCTTGGTTGAATAGGACTAATTTAGTAGTGAATCATCTTTTTACATCAGATTGATCAATTGAACTATGAATGATGCTTCGAGGGAATTCCTAGAAAATTCAGATGGATAAAACCTGAAGCATGCAATTTTTGAATAAAATAGACATAGGAACTATCATAGAAGCTTGTCAAAGAAGTTTTTTATGATTTAAAATACATGTATAAGCTCGCCTACATGATTGCATGTTTGTTAAAAATTCAAATGGTCATCATAGGAATAGCTGGATGAGAACTCTAAGGGATTCAACTATTCAAGTTATAACTCTAAGGGATTTGATGAAGCAATTAAAGTTAAGCAATCATTCACATCAATTAATGGGCACTATGGCTCAATCAATCTCTGTAGGAAAACTTGTAGTGCTCAATTCAATTCAAATAAAGATTGGGAGATCCAATGCCGAATGTTATACAAGATAGGGGTTGGAAGAGGACACTAGCATCTCTATTAGAAAGTCAACTAAGCTTCTATCACACATATGAGGATAATGCCTTGCATGCAATGGAAAATGTCCTCGGCACTTATGAAGATGAAGATAAAAGTTCTGAGTCACAAATTTTATTTGATTATATGAAGATTTTCTTGAAACTACAAACCACTTATGCTGAAAGCCTGAAAGCAAGAACTATCATATGCCTGAATAGAAGAAAATAGGAATAAGCTCTCTAATATGAAATAAATCATCCCAAGTGAAGTATATATATAGGAGATGTATGCCATTTGAGGCAAACTACCTAGGAGTTTAATTATGAAATGGAGGAATCATTAATCATTGTTAGTTGGTATGTAGGTGGATTCTTTTTTGTTGATGGTTTGGAAATTAAAGCAAGTAATTCGAGTTTACAAGTCAAACTCAACCATTTAATTGATATGACTAGTCTAGCTCGAGCTCAATATATGAAATGGAGCTTGAGTTCAAGCCTATTATGAGATAGGCGAGCCAAGCTTGAGGTAGCTATGACTCAAGCTTTACTCAATTTGTTTAGATCAAAAAGGTCTTCAAGACCTTTTTAGTATAAGGGTGGGCCTTGATCAATAGCAATAGTAGAGTGTCATAATGAGCGTGTTGACAAATTTTTTTGACATTAGATGGGCTCTCAACCAAATATTCCACATTTGTGTGTGACATTACCCTCATAGCCTTTCAAGGCCTTCAATTGTTCATTATCAGTTGTTATTGCAGCCATTCAAGGATGGGAAGGCATTCGAGCAAGCTTTGAGCTCAACCAAGGTTGAGGATTATTGTCCTTCGTGCTTTCGGACAGCTCTTGATGCAAGGCCACCTCAAGACATTTTTGGCTGACATGTCAAGAGCACTTTGGAGATTCGCCGCGTTTACTAGATGCCATCCAAGCGATTGGGATCAATGACAACATTATCTGGAGAGTTGATTCCAAAGCTTCACTTTGTTAGAATGTGCAAGGAAGAATTATCCTTATTCGCTTATCTCTACATCAACACGATGGTAATTAAGTCATTACTACATAAGTTTCAGGGTTGTCAAATCCTTGTCCACTTGAGGAGTTTGTTGGATAATCTCTTTCTTCATGACTCATGGAGACCAAGTATTTGTTTGAATAACATTAGCACTAAGGTGTTACTCATTTTGTACTCAGGAGAGATGAGCATCCAAAGGTCTTTTATATATGAAGTTAAGCAAGTTGATTTCATGGCTATATGCCACATCAACATACATCTTCATCTTTGGTTGACCTCTTTTTAATGACTTTTGAGTGGTCTTGATACCACCTTGACGTGAAGTTTTAACTCTTTTAGGACTTCACAACTATTAGAGTGAACCATATTCAGTCTAGTATATACTGCCTAAGCTTTGTCTTACAAAAACCTAAACTTGACCTTCTGCAAATGCTGATGGAAATCAAGACGTCCTAAAGCCAAAAAGGCAGCTATCACCTCATGATGTAACTATAAAAAAGGGAAATAATCAATGGTTGCATGTATCCTCAATAAAAGAAATAAAGAGATGAGAGGAAAAGGAAAAGAGAGGAGGGGTATTATCCAAGAAAGAAAGGACAGGTTTTAGAGTGCTTGCAAGAGTTCTTCAGGTACTTAATGAAGAAAAAAGTGCTGCTATTTTTAATTCCAACAAGAGGAGCTCTTGGTTATGGTAGAGAATAATTCCTATTTGAACAACTATAATAGAGAGGAAGAGAGAAATTAGAGCAACAATATCTACTTCCCCACACCTAACTCTCATTTTCATAGCAGGTGCTTGCATTTTCTCTCAATGAGAAAAAGTGATATCTTTTTTATACCTCAAACTTTGTGCAAAGTATTATCTTTCTTGCTCGTTTTTTAAAGTTTAATGAATTATTTGATCTCTATGTGGTCATTGATGTAGGCTTATTTAAGCTAAACCATATAAATTTTTGGTATCCTATTTTGTGTTGCTTGATAGTTTTGCAGTTACTTTATGGTTCATCTCACTACTCCTAGGCTAAGGAGTTCCCTTTCCAAACAAATTATGTGTTCACCCTTCAAAATATTATGAAAGCTAATGTAGCAAAGTGGACGGAAAAGTTTGAGAACTCCTTCCAGGAGCTTAAGGAATACTTGAGCTCTCTACCAATCTTGAGCAACCCAAAGTTTCTAGAGCCACTTTTACTCTACCGCAAGATCATTGAAATTTTGATCAGCTTCATCTTGATATAAGAAGCAAGAAAGCAATAACAAGTTTATTACAAGCGCACAATCTTGATTAGAATCAAGTTAGATTACCATACCATCTTCGCCTTCACCCTTGTTATCTCGGTAAGGCCCTAAAGCTAGACATCTAGGCACATCAAACCCAAGTTTTCTTCAATCAACTTCTGAAGCAACTTCTCTTAAGGCTCGAGCCCTCAGGTCAATTAATTAAGTGGTAAATTGAGTTGGGTGAGCATGATCTACATTACTTGCCCTACAAAACACTCAAAGAACTTTGTTGCGGACTTCACCTCTTCTATGGAAGAGTTTGATATAGAAAAAGATTGCTAGAAGATACTTGATGTTGGAGCTTTTTGGTTTAGAAGAAATGAAGTAGTTGTCCTTATCAACCTGTGCACTCGAGCTTAGTTTTAAAGCAGTCAATAAACAAGCAGCTAAGAGCTCTGCTTTGCATGGAACATAGGAGTGAGGAAGCTGATGGTGTTCAACAATTCTCATTTAACTGTGAACCAAGTAAATGAAGTGTATGAGACCTAAGAAAGGATCCTCCATCAAATGCTTGCCCCATAAGAAAAACCTGCTAGCTAATCTGTTTGCTAAGAATGACTATCCACAAGCCATCTCTATCAGGGAGCTCAAAGTTTTGACAATTGAAGAAGCAAAAAGTCTGCACATAAAGCATTAAGAATGTTGGTTCTCGTCAATTCAATTTTTTTTGGGAGATTGAAAGGCGATCCCATGATAAAACAAAACCCAAAAGAACTTGATTTTGGGATATCAGGCTCTTCTTATATGAAGGAAACCTCCTCAACAAAGTCTATTATGGAGCTAGATAGAAATGCCTTCAAACATGCCAATATAATGAATTTTTTGAAGAGCCCTTAACGATAGAAGTTACATGATCAGATTCGAAAGAGACACTTTGACAGGCCTACTACTTGGTGAGTGTTAGGAATGATGAAAAAGCATACTCCCATATGTGTAAATGCTATAAGTTCTACAGAAGAAAAACAAGCAACCATGGTAACAATCAAACTTATCATCAACTCCATGATTAGAGTTGGTTGGGAAATATACTTCATTAGCTTGCTTTTATGGGCATATGGGGGAAAAAGATTCTTGTTAGTGTTAGTCGTATTCTTTACTAAGTAGACAACTGGCACTTAGATGAAAACCCACAGCCTCAGCGGTTGTGAGATTTCTAAGTAGCACCATCTTTCACTCATTTTGGTTTACCATTTCCTGTTATTAAGATAAGCCAATTCTAAAACAATCAAATTCTGTGTTGAATATTGAATCAATTTGAAACTTGCTTCAATAAGCTATCATTTATCAAATGGAAGAGCCATAGCAATATAGCATCAATTCTGAACATCTCGAAGGAAATGCTCATTGGAAGACGAGGCTTTGGCTAAGGAAATGCAATTCTCATCCGATCTAATGACTCCTTCAGCAGCTTGTAAAACATGCTACTTTCTAATATATGGTGCTGAAGTGCTCGTCCTGGTTGATTTATTACTTCGAAGTGGTTGCTCGAGCAAAAGCTGCAAGAGCTATCTAAGTCAAAGATTTGGATCATTGGAGGTCACAAAATGACCAAAACATGGCAGATTCCCTCAACTCGAAGAAGAAAGGCTTAAGGTGGCCCATCGCAATTGTGAGCATAAGTGGGAGTCATTAGGCTCTACAGTCAGGAATCATTTTCTGCTAGGGAGCCTTGCCCTACAAATCTGTGGTGGTCAATGTCATTCTGGAAAGTACATATTTCAAGTATCGATTTGTTTAGCATAATAAGAAATGATTTCTTTTTTCAATTTGATATTAATCTCATTTACCTTAATAATTAGTTTATAATTTTATTTTTCATTTATTTTGCCCTTAGTTTTTTACTTGCGTTGTGATTATAGTGAATAATCTCCTATTGTTGTCTTTTTTGTTGCTGTTAAAATTTTGCTCTCTTCTCAAGTATTTTTGCTCTCCAGAATGATTTTGGGAAAGTTGCCTGATGGACATTATAAGCTGTCCAGAGAGGCAATACTTAGTGCGGAACTGCCTGCTGTATACACTACTCGCTCAAACTGGAAGGGCCCAACACCACGGGATCTTCTTTGCTTTTTCTGCCTCCAGCACAGGCTATTAGATCCTCTTTTCTCTATTAAAACACTTGACCATACAGAAATTTCTGTAGAGTCCTGTGAAGTTCAAAAAGAGTCAAAGTTATCAAGGTCGGCTGATGAAGTTGAGAAGGTAAACGGGGACAAATCTGATCCTATCCGCAGAGAGTTGGGCAGGTCCATTAGTGCCTTCCAATGTGAAGTTAAAATATTATCTAAGAGACAGGATCCAGTGTTCAAATGTTCTTTTGATGATACATGCAGAAAGGAATGTGATGCAATTCAGAGTGCCGCATTAAAGGTTCTTTCATGTTTCAATAAGTACTTCAAGCAACCTGACATGCCAATTGAGAAGTTTTTCGAGCTTGAAAATGGTCACAGCATAGCTGTATATTCCAAAGAATTTATTCAAGAACTTGTGAAATGTCCATCAATATATGATATTAAAAGGAAAAACAAGAGTTCTCGGTTACATATATCTTCAAATCAGTGTAGTACACAGTATGAGAACGGTATAAGTTGTAAAATTGATGGCCCGGATTCTGGCATTTTTCCATCCCCAGGTTCTGTAATTTGCATAAGCTATGTTGTTGTATTAATGGACAAGGATACAACTTTGAAGGAAATTTTAGAAAGCAAAGATTCATTTGAGTTTGAGATAGGTACTGGTGCTGTGATTAGTGAACTTGAATCATGTGTGAGTCAGCTGACGGTAAATCAATCTGCAAAGTTTGTTGTTGAAGTGCCTTCTAGGGACTTGATCTTTAGTGCAGCTGGTCAAGCTGCCACGCATCTTTCACAGTTATCATTACGTGAGTTACCTTCTGTTTTGCTGATATTTTATACTACGAGGTATCCTTTATACTGTAGAGAAACTTTTGATGTTTTAATCATTTACCATTTCATTTCAGACAACTGCTTCTTGGAATACTCTGTAAAGTTATTGCACGTGACAGAACCTCTAGAGGACAGAATTGAGCAGGCTTTATTCAGTCCTCCTCTATCTAAACAGAGAGTTGAGTTTGCGGTAGGGTATATCAATCAATTGCATGCTACCAGCTTGGTAGGTTTTTTCAACTCTGCTTTATTATTGTAGTTCGCTTAATTACGGTCTGATTAATTGTTCTGTCATGAAGGTGGATTTTGGCTGTGGATCAGGCAGCCTACTGGATTCTCTATTAGATCATCCTACTACTTTAGAAAAAGTTGCAGGTGTAGATATATCACGCAAAAGTCTTATTCGTGCTGCAAAGGTACTATGTTCGCTTTATTTTTGTTTGTCTATCATTTTATTGTGTTTTTGTGCAATTTCATGTAACGGTTTTTATTTTATTCATATTTCTTTGTGGACTAACCTTCATCTAGGTTTTTTTATACATAAGTCTTGGATCTCTTCTCAAAATGCCTTAAACAATTTTTCTTTTGGAACTATATTCATGCATATTTTGTTTTTTCAGATTCTACATTTGAAATTGAGTGCAAATCTTTCGAGGCAAAAAAGCATAAGATCTACTATACTATATGATGGATCAATAACTGATTTTGATTCTCGCTTATGTGAGTTTGACATCGGTACTTGTTTAGAGGTATTTCTTCCTGACTCTGTTGCTGTAGTAGTTGTTATGGAAATGTTATCTCAATCCAACCTTCTTTTGATCCTTCATTAATCTGAATTGTTTTTTTGACTTGGAAATTGATGAACTTCAACTAACTTTTGAGTATTTAAAGTCAGAAATCAAGTGTACGCTTTGCATAATTAACAAGTTAAAGCACACTGCATACTATGAAACATGGTCATCAGAACCAGACATTGACAAACCAACACAGGGTCATGGTTTGCCTTTAAGAACTACAACTTGTTACGGAATTAACGAATGAACTGATCTTTTCTTTATTTGTTTGTTCTCTCTCTCTCTCTCTCTCTCTCTCTCTCTCTCTCTCTGCCTTATTAAAAAAATTACTTTTATTGTACTCTGAACCCTTTTTATTTGGTTAATTTTTTCTGATATCTTTTCTTTTCACCGTTTTAAGAATTGGTGGGTTGGTTTGGTTAAGCTTGATGTACATATAGAGTTTTTTTTTTTTAATTGTGAAGTAAAGTTGATTAAGCCTTTGCTGGTCTAAATAGTTTCTACACAAATTTGCTGTAAATTAAATTTCTTTAAATTGGAATTAGTTTAATTCTATTTTACGGATCTATCTTTTTTCTCAACTACAATTCCCATACAGCTCATGTCCAGAACTGTTAGTGCTGTGTGGATCTTTGATTCTCAATCAAAGGATATTGAATCCTTACTGTCTACTTTGTGTTTTTCTTCTAACAATCATGAGAATCAAACAATGCAGGTCATCGAGCACATGGAAGAGGATCAAGCTTGTTTGTTTGGTGATGTCGTTCTAAGCTTCTTCTGTCCAGGAGTACTCATAGTTTCTACACCCAACTTTGAGTACAACCCAATTCTACAGAGATCCTCAATGCCAGGCAGGGAGGATTCAGAAGATAAACCCACTTCCATTAAATTTCGGAATCATGATCACAAGTTTGAGTGGACAAGACAACAATTTCAGCACTGGGCCAACAATCTTGCAGTAAGGCACAATTATAGTGTTGAGTTTAGCGGAGTTGGAGGTTCAGCGGACATTGAGCCGGGCTTTGCATCTCAAATTGCGGTTTTCAAAAGGTCTTCAAATCTATTCCAGAAGCAATGCTTGAGAACGGAGCCATCCGAACTCTATGAAGTCATCTGGGAATGGAGTGCTGATTCTGCTCCACTCTGAGCTTCTAATTGGTTCTATCGTAATGACTGCATGTGGCATATGAGAAGCAATTTCGTTGGCATTATATTGGTTCCATGTTCAGGTATATATACAATTCTCTGGTCAATACCCTTTATGAGAAGTTTTATGTTATAACTTGCTTGATTACCTAATATATCCCAAGGAAATTGTTTCATTCAACTACCATAAGAAATGAAGATTTTTTTTTTTTTTCAGTATTGATGGTTTTTCTGCAAAATGCTCCTAGTTTGGTTATGGCATCTGTCACATGATAGTCCACAAGAACAAATATATTTAGAGATAAAACAAACATTTTTGAGATCTTTTGAATTTCTTCTTGTACCCATTTTGCAAACTTTTCAATCCTTTGCTTTTGCTTTAAAAGTCGAGATTGTACCTCATTCCTTTATTTTTTTCAGCTTAGTCACCGAAAAAAATAAAAGACTCATAAAGCGGGAAGAGAGAATGTTTAAAAGAAACGCAATTTAAACCAACCTGAGATTCAAACATAATTTATTGATTAGGCAAATACATGAGCATCTAAAGTTTGTTTTGATAATTGATCATATAAGTGATTTGATATTCTTTTAATTGTTGGAGTGCAGTATGACTTCTTCAATCAAAGTAATTCTCTTAAGAAGCACCTAAAAATGAAAAACTGCATTCATTATTTAGCTTTAAGCTAAGAACAAAGAAAGTCAATTTTACAACCTGCTTTATGATAGTTACAGCCATCCCAAATGGATGGTAACTGCAAAAGATTTAGGCTTCGTTTGGCAGTTTTTGGTCACTGCTTTCAAAATTTTTTTGTATCAAAAAATTGTTTTAGAAAACAATAAGAAGATTGGCCTAAGCAAATATTTGAATTTTCAAACTAATTTCCTAGACTGCATAATGTGGCCGCCTAACTTTCCAATTAGTTTAATTTTCCAAGTAATTGAATGTTCCAAATGTTAACTAAATTGTCATGTAATAGAATTTTCCAACTAATCTCCTGCACTTCTGTTTTACGATCCGCTCCGCTTGCGATTAATCTCTCAGCAGTACAAGAGTTCTCTCGTACATAGAAATAACTTTTAGTACTTCTATTCCCTTCTCATAATCCAGATAATGATCATAATATCACCAAAATGAAATACCAGCAATTTCCTCCGTACACTTTTCTGCTGAAACAAAAAAGCCATATGGTCCTTATCACTTCGCCTGCGATCAAACAGTATCATCATAAAAACATCCATACCGAGCTTTTATGGTGATTTCTTGAGACCCCACTATTGGATTTTTAAACGTCTAATGTTTAATTTATATGAAAATATATTTGAAAATTTATCATTTTATTTGTCTATTTTATTTATGATTTCATGACTGAGCTTCCAATTCAATGTAATAGTATGATTTCTTTTTCATATGACATCAAATAAGTTTAATTTTATTGATTTTGATTCTTGGTCGACCTGCTTAGAAATAATTTGATTTTTGTCTTGAGTTGGAAGGCAGCTTAACCAAATGATTTTCAATTCAGGATAAAGATAGATTTTGGTTTCGTTTAAGACGTATTTCTGACTGCTTAAAGCGGCATTCTAGCACAAAAAAATTATATTTTTTTTACTATTATACTAAAATATTGCTTTAAGAAGTAGTAAGAAAGCCGTCCCAAACGAAGCTTTACTCGACTCATTTAGAAAACCTAATGTGCTTTGTCTATACAAGGAAATAAATCAATGCGCTTGATATGGTGGAAGTAGTAGGCGCACCAAGTGGACTCGGGAGCCACATGACCACTCGGTCCAGCAAACTTCGCCACAGGTGGGGCTAGCAGACAGAGAGGGGGAGTCAGTTGAGGAGGTGGGGCCCAACAGAGAATCAAAATATTATATTAGGAGAGAATCAATTAGGAAATCATTTGATTTCCTAATTGAATTTTAAATAGATGAAGGTAACACATTAGGAAGGAGGTTGATTTATGAGGGACGGAGAATGCTTATTTAAGTCTAAAGTTAGGGTTTATTTTATTCTTATGCAGAATTTTGTTTTGAGTGTTGTAATTCTCTTGTGTGAGGGATCCTGGCCGCGTGTAGGGATTGGAAGAGAAGATCCTTCTCTAAAAAGAGGATCATTATATCTTGCTTTGTTTGTATTTGATTTTCAATCAATAAAAATCTATTTTCATGTTGAATCTCTTGGAGTATTTTACTGTTTGGATACCAAGATGTATCAACATCTTATATCAATAAAGTCATCATATTGTTAACATACAAATATATATAATATGTTAGATATTTGAATACTCAAATAAGAGGATGTGATGTTGCTATGTTATCTAATATAGAGATGATGTTGAAAATATGCTCGTGAGTGCATGAAAAAAAAAGTATTTCTCTTAATATTCTCACATAAAATAATAGGACTATCTTTCAAAAATGGTCACGCTGCTAAGGTAATATTACATAAACAAGTCACTAAAATAGGTTTTTATGATCATACATAGTAACTATAAATGTATTATGGCAAAAATTTGACATGGGTAAGAAATCATAAAATAAAGAGATTTACACATATCAAAGATATATATATATATATATATTTATATATTTAACTTTTTTAGAACTATGATCCCAGATTTTTAAAAAGGAATTATCTAATGTCTAATGCTATGATGAAAATGTAGAGAATTTGATAAAAATGAAAACTAGGGATTAAAAATTTGGGTATTACTATTATAAATGGAGGTACTTGGATCTTAATTTTGTAAATAAATAAGATTTAAATGTTATGCATATGACTGCAAAATAAAAATGCAAAGCTATTGCACTTAAAACCTGTTGGTGTTTTTGTTTTATTGCTATTATTTAAAACTTTGGGTTCTCTTTATGATGATGTCTTTATGTTCTGTGAAATACAAATCACACCTTCATGCTAGAATTAATGCTGTTGCAAGTATCAAATTAGAGTTCCAGTCTCCATCATCATTTTTAGGATCATCAATGACATAATCTATATACAAAATAAACTGATACTTCCAGTTTAAAAGAACAATCATATATGTTTAATCATAGCAGTGTAAATAAAAGAATATGGATTTGTAGATTTATGGCTTTTAGTGTACCTGCTAGCATGAATCTTCTTGACCTTGCGGCATCTAAGGAGTTGCTGATGTAAACGGTTTGGAGTTATTTCTTTGAGATGTTAGTGTTCCAGTTCAATTTCCAAGAATAGCTTCCTTGTGTAAGAGCAAACTGAGTTCACTAATTTCTTTAGTTTTCCTTGGGCAATGCTGAATGAATTTCTTATCCTGCAAAACAAGCACTAGAGTTCTTCTTGTCTATCTCAACTAAACTAAATCCAGGAGCCTTCTTCATCTCATTCTCCTTCATCCTCCTCCTCATTCTCGCCGCATCTTCCCATCTACCGGCATCCGCATACAAATTTGACATCAGAACATAGAATGTGACATTGTGAGGATCCAATTGCAAGAGATTGTCCACTACAAGCTCAGCCATCTCAACATTCCCATGCATCCTACAAGCTCCAAGCAAAGCTACCCAAACAGCTTTGTCTGGCTTCACCTCCATCCTCTCTACAAACTCATAAGCATCACTAAGCCGACCAGCACGCCCGAGAAGATCCACCATGCAAGCACAATGTTCCACTGTATGATTAATGCCATAATCTCTCTTCATGCTATCAAACTGTCTCAGCCCCTCCTCCAAATGACCAGAGTGGCTGCAAGCTGCCAAAACTGAAGTAAAAGTGAAGCTATTAGGTGTTATTCTTTCATCTTTCATCTTCGAGAAAAGCTCAAGTGCTTCCTTAGCATGGCCATGAGCCGCATAAGCCCCAATCATTGCACTCCAACTTATCACACTCTTTGATGGGAGGAGCTTTTGAAATACACCTTCGGCGAAATCTATCTTCCCACACTTTGCATACATGTCGAGCAATGCGTTGCCGACTCTCATATCAATCTCTAGTCCTCTTTTACATGCAAGCTCATGAACCCATCTCCCAATCTCCAGGTTTCCAAGACCAGCGCAAGCAGATATGACACTTAACAATGTCACACTATCAAAGCTGAGATTTTCAGCTACCATCCTTCGAAAAATCCCGATTGCCGCAGTTTCATCACCGTTCTTCTCATACACAGCAATTATGGTGTTCCATGTAGCTAAGCTCCGAACCGGCATCGTCTCAAACAGGGACTTAGCCACTTGACTCTCACCACATTTACCATACATTGCAATCAGTGCATTTGCCAATGAAATATATGAACCCAGACCAGATTTGATCACCACATCATGAATTGATCTCCCAAGACTAAAACACCCTAACTCATTGCAAGCTGGAAGAATGCTCACCAGGGTGATCTCATTAAACTGAATCCCTAAATCAATCATTTTCGCAAAAACACTCAAAGCCTTCCCAAAGACACAATTCTGAGCATAACCAGCTACCATTGCAGTCCATGACACGGTACTCCTCTCCCCCATCCCGCAAAAAACCAACTCTGCATCAGAAATCTCCCCACTCTGAAAGTACATTGTTACCAACGAGCTCTGCGCGAAGACATTAAACTCGAATCCGTTCTTCACGACGTTGCAGTGAGCCTGCTTTCCTTCTCCAATGGCAGAAATGGCCGAGCAAGATCTGATCACAAAGGGAAAAGTGAAGCGATCGGGCGAGAAACCGGTGCGGTGCATCTCTTTGTACAGAACGGGGACCTCTTGACATGGGCCAATGCTGGCATACCCTCGAATTAGGGTATTCCAGAGAAAAGAGTCTCGTTGAGGCGTTTCGTCGAACAGCTTGCGGGCGTAGTCCATGGTCGAGGACAGAGTGTAGGTGTGGAAGATGAGTTTGGTGGCGAGATCAAGGCGCGAGCTAAGGCCATGGATTAGCAGAAAAGCGTGCAGGCGTTTGAGGTCGGAGAGGGAAGAACAGGAATTTAGAAGGTCGTTAGGTTGAAGACAACCTCGGAGAGAAGGCGGGAAGGAGAGATTAGTTGGGCTTAGGTGAGTTCGAAACATTATTGAGGTTAAAAAAATAATAATAAAGAAAATTTAAGGATACATTGATGATTTGGCATAGAAACTTAAACGTGCAAGCGCAAAGCTATTAAAGATATAAGAAATTAAAATAAATTGTTTTTTAATTAAAATTTATGTTTTGGACAACTTTTTAATATAAAATTTTTGAACTAGAATTTTTTTTATTAAAAAACTGCTTTAAAAAATATTAAGAAAACTGTCTCAAATAAAATATAAGACTTCATTTGAGATAGCTTTTAATCATTATTTTTAATGCTTTATAAAAATTATTTTTTATCAAATAAAGTCTAATTCATATTCAAGATATGAATAGTTAACATGTGATGATTTAGGGAAGCAACAAAAGTCAGGCATTTTTTTATAGGATTTTAATTTAATTATATTGCTATTATTTATTAGTTATTAAAATAAAAAAATTGCTAATCAGTTTTATCTTTTTATTCCTCTCTTTATAGATTTAATTTTTATATAAAAATAGGTTGTTTTATGATAGTATAATCAAAAGATTATCATGATAAATAAAAATTTATAATCTATTTTTAAGATAAATACAATATAAATCAAAAGAGCTGTATTATAAAAAATAGATTATGAAATAAAATTGTATATTAGCGAATAAGTAATACTTTAATCACTTATATTAAAAAATAAATATTAAATTATATTGATAATGAAACAATTACTTAACTTTTTGAGATTATTAAAAGTGTTTGTTAGAAATTACAAATTTTTTTCATCTTACATTTTATCTTTTTAAAATAATAAGTTAAAAAAATTGCTAATATTGGTCTTTAACTTGGATGGAATAAATAGAGAAAATATTTAGAAAAGTCTTTTTTTTTTTGGAACTGGAGTATCGGCCCGCTGCCACGTCAGCTTGTAACGTTTGGAACTAGGGTATCGGCCCGTTGTCACGTCAGCTTGTAACGCACTTAGCGGTGTCCACTAGTCCCTCGGTGAGTCTACCATCAATCAGCCGCACAGGTGCAGGACCCACAATTATTTTCTCCCCACTTAAGGAGTCGTGCCGTATGAAAGGGGATTCATATTTAAAAAAGTCTGATCCACTGAAGCAAATTGGACATGCTTTTGTAATATTTAATTAAAATTATCTCAACAAGATTAAAAGCTATTATTATGTCAGTATCAGAGTGATGACAAACTAGTTATTAAGAGGGCTTCAGCTATTAAAATTTCATTAAAAAAGGGTTTTTTTTTTTTTTTTGGCTTCAGCTATTAAATTTCATTAAAAAAAGGGTTTTTTTTTTTTTTTTTGATAAATTCTCAAAATCCAACTCTCTGGTTATTTTTGCCATGTTATAATTTCAATAAAACAAAAAGAATTAGTGAGGGTATGCTGAGCATTTCTCAAACAGATTGAAGATTTATAAACAATATAAGACAAAATTTCAAAATTTCAAGAAGTATTTTAAACAACAAAGCTGGAACAAACGATAGACTTCTACTACAGAGGCAAGTTAAACAGTACGTAGCTCATACAGACATCAATTTCCCTTAGTAATCAACAGTGGCAGAACCTGAAAGAAGAAGAAACTACATTGCAGAATGCTTCTTGTCTTGTCTCTTACTTCTCTTATTGCATATCCTTCTAATCCACTTTTCTTGTGCTGAAGTGAGATTTTGGAGCAAGGGAATGGGCGTCCATGGCTGACATACTGAGCTTAGTGGAAGCTCAGCAGGAAGGGCGGCGGCGGTGCTCGTGAAGGCATTTAGGACAAGGAAAGCCAATATAGGAGACAGATCCAATGTTCCACCAAGAGGGGGGATAATCCCACGAAATATGTTTAGATAAGGATCGCATATAGTGCTAAAGAGGAAAAAATAAGATTTAAGTTAGAAATCGGAAACCAGTAACAGAAAGCAAGATTTGTCTTTTCCTGATGAAGAGTTCAGTTCTTTAATAATCCTTTCAGTAAAATTTTAAAGCTGTTACTAATATCACATACTATCTTTATGCAATTGCTAACAGATGATGGGGTGAATGAAATTTGAAGTGTTTTTCTTCTTCTTTTTTGAAAATGATGATGCTTTCAATTATTGCAAGCAGCATTTCAAAATACTGGGTAACTGGGCAAAATATAGTCTGCACTGAAAGAATTAAAGGATCATTTCAGTTTGAATACTTATTATTAGCTGTTTTGCCAGTAAGAGAAAAGGGAGAAGGCAAAACTTGAGAATTCCCCGCACGCGAAATCCATATACATGGCTTACAGAAAAGATGAGAAGAGAGTCCTAACAGTTCCATACTTTCTTGTGCATAACTAAAATACCCAAAGCTTTGTACCTAAATGATAGGAAATACTTGAGTTCTACCCTAATAATAATTGGTCAAAATAGCGAGAATAATACGAAAATATGTCGGGGGTTCAAGGGGGAAGCAACCCCTGACGGGGTTTGTCCTGCCCGGTCAGGTGCCCCAAAACAAATTTTGGTTGTAAGGATATTTTTGGATCCTCTTTATTAGTTCTTTTTGTATTTAGTTCATCGTTCATACACAATATGTTTAATTATGTTGGGGCAATTGCCTAAAGACCATGGTATTTTAAAACTTTTAGGGATGGCAATTGCCTAAAAACCCTTATAATAAAGACTAAAAAAATACATGAAGCGGGACAAATTACCTAAAGAATCATATAATAAAAAATTGCCCCTCCTGGCCTTAAGGTGGATCCGTCCATGCCTCTATTATACTTCCCTATTTATAAAAATTAGTATCAGAGAGCTTTTCAATCCCCTCCCACCTCATCATAGCCTTCCACGATTCTGAACCCTAACTACACAACCTATCCATGCATTCGAACCTCCTCAGAACCCCTCCTTATTCATGCCATGCTGCTTTCATTGAAGTCCTCACACGATCCGCCTTGTCCAGCATTACGTTTTCTCTATCTCAAGTGCATTGTGTTGCTATAGGGCACACTCACTTGCACTGCGACCACTCCTTGCAACTTTTGCTTCATATCCATTTATATCTGCCACTCCCACAAAGCCTACCCACCACAGCACTTTGCAACATCACTTACACTAGCATTAGCCCTCCCACCAAAATCTAGATCTCATATGCCTTGAAGGCAAGCGAGTAAATATTTCTTCCATAGAAAATTAATAAATTTCTTTTAAATATTTTATTTTGATTTCATTATAAATGTTTTATTTTCTTTAATAAATTTTATTAGTATTTTTTATTTATTTTTAATATTTTTATTTGATTTTTTAGCTGATGATGAACTAAGTTAATCTATTGATATTTTATGGCATATTTATGGATTATTTTAATTTTATGAGTGTTTTTTTTTGGGTGCAAGGCATATACCACAAGGCATAAACCACACCTTAATACCTTATTAAAGTAAAACACCTCAAATCTCGATTTCATCTTTTTAAACCTTGCATGCATCAAGTGGGTATCGACCCTCAAGTATTATAAGCTAAAGAATTTCATCAAGAAAAAGGATGTTGCAAAATCAACTTTTAAGCGACATATATTCCCATAATGAATTGAAGGCGCAACATTTATTCGTGTAAATATATTGGTTGCAAACTTATAAGCTTCTTGAAATGTCATTGAAGCTGGCTTTCTAGCTCATATTAGAAGGTTGATTGTAGTCAATGAATCTCATCACATGATAATCCTTAAGTTTGTTGAACTTTGTTGTGATCATCATATTATCATCAGACCATATTTGTACACTATGACCAATCCACTCTATCAGTTCAATATCCTATCTCTGAATGTTATAATGGTTGATTTGTACAATAGTCATATTATCAATAATCACAAAATTGATGCAATAAGTATAATATCTACCAAAATCCTCAATCTCATTCGTACTAACATCATTTTCTGCAACCTCTTACTCTTACAACTACTTCTAAATCTTACACAAGTTAGCCTTAAAACAAGCAATACGTACCAGTATCAATATGAAATGTCAAAAGCACCTAAACTAAAGGATTATATGGATTCTTGGAAAGACTTGATAAACCAATTAAAATAAAAAGCTTAACACTTTCAATTCCCACTATCATATCAATTTCTTCTAATCAAGGCGTTTCTTTTTCTTTGTTAACCTAGTAGGTTAATGTGCTTCATTTTTAATATTATCAACTTTTCATCGAAGTTACTAATTTTAATGCTAAATAAAATGCTTTAACTTTTCCATGCCAGAAGCAATCAAGTATTTGGAAAACAATTCAAATATCACTAATGCTTTGAGGAGATGATGAAGATAATAATCGTTAACGATACACTAAAATTTTAAAAGAAGCGGATTAATAACTGAAATCAGTAATAGGAGCCGAATCAATAATTAATTTGAAAAGAAGCGAATACAGATTTACGGAATAACGCATTCATAAAAACTGGAAAATAATTTTTTGATTTGGATGAAAACGTTTCATGCATTCGGTTGAATGAGTGAAACCATTTAACGGTTTCACCAGGGCACGGACTACGAGCTTTTAGCACAAAATTTGAGCAATGAATCGGTATTACTTATTAGAAATGTAAAATCAACTTGTGTAGACAAAAACATGTCATATTAGGTGAAAAGCGGTGATGTCTAATCAATTGTTCTTGTGATAGATGGTATAAATTAGTTATACCATTAACATTTTTGCAGAATTAAATTTTTGAAACTGGTATAAATGTTTGATTTATGTAAGCTCTACTATATAAAAGGTGCATCAATAAGTAAAGTTTAACATTGACAGAAATTTATTTTAATAGATTTTTTTTGCAAACACTTGAGTACTTGAGTTTTCTTTTTTTTTTTCTTCATTATGCATTGGTCGAATCTTTAGAAACCTCAAGGCATCCCCACAAAAGAAATTGTTGGATATTGCAAGAACATAAATGCATGCCTGTATGACAAGCTCTTTTGATAGTTTGCTTAAGTAAAATGCAATTAAATAAAATTTTTAGTTGTTACATGCATGTATAGACAGGCGATAGTGATTCTTTACTTTGTTATTTATAGGCTTAAGCTATGAAAATAGTCATCAATAAGCCAATATATTTCTTAAATGCTTCCAGTTGAAAATACGTAAAAGAGAAGTTCTGAGAACGCGATTGTCATCTGGGTGACCTTCACTTTTTCTCAAATGCGGTATCATGATGTACGATGTGAAAGAGAAGGTGGTAATTGATACAGCGGTTCCAAAGTTCTTGAGGCGGTTCCTTCTGAACCGCCTCAGCCAGCCCATCATGGGCCGGCTCTTGTATATCAAAGGAGGCAATTTCGCCTCCTTTCTTGCCCAAATTAAATTACCGCCTAAGGGTGGGGTCCACGGGATTTGAATTTATTTGAAAATTATTTTTAGGAAAGATTTGAGGAGGTGGAAAAGTCTTTAAATAGGAGAAGTAAGAGGTAGGGAAGGGCATGCAAGTATTGTTTTCTTCTTGGAGTTTCTTGGGTGTTTTGGGCTCTAGACTCTCTTGTCTAGAGATTTGGGAGAGACGATCCTCCTCTCGAATTGAGGATCACTTGTATCTTGATTTCGTGTTGCTTTTGCTTTGTTTCCCTTATTGCAATTTAGTTATTTGGGGCTGATTTGGCCAGATTTTGGCTGAATTCTCGCTGTTTTATCTCCAATTAGTGATAGGTTTGCTTGCGAACTCAAGTATTCCCTTACGGTTACTTGCGAACTCAAGTATTTCCTATCAGTAATTTGAATAATCTTCAAAGGCAACCACTTAATCTTGAGCATGTTATTTTTTACCATCAATGGGTTTCAGTTGAGGAATGTAATATTTTGGATATCTATAAGAATAAATGAAAAAGTTATTGCCCAAATATAAAAGGAGGAAGTTTTTAAATTTAGCGAACTAGCAAGACCTCCATTATAAGTTCAAGTTTAAGTTTTGTTGCTGTCCAACTCAAACCCAACTACAAGCTTGCATGCATATATTGTTTAATGAGAATTAATGGTTTTTAGTCCTTTGTATGTTATTTGTATGCAATTCTGCTGTCTAGGTTAATAATAGTAATTGTCAAATATTTCAGTATGATTATATGTAGTTGATTGCAATGGGAACTTAATTTTTTGTATTTTGTTAATTGTCAACTAGTTTATGTTGAGTACGTTGTTCTCAAATTATTCTATTATATATTGTGTATTTATCAACAACAGTTGCCTGATGAATGTCCTGACTATAAGATTATTTAAATTTCTAAAATAATAATTCTGGATTCAAATTAAAATGAAGTTATAAGTTTGCCTTAGAAAAATAACAAACATTGTTACAACAGATTTCATAACCTTTTTTGCTCGCCATATAATCCTAATCAAGACAGAACAAACACATTTTTTTTTTTCTAAATTCACTTTTTTTATTTTTATTTTAATTCTAAACTCTTAACGAAGTGCAAGGAAAATTGGACAAGATGGGAAATAAGAGACAATCTATAACAAATTAGTGAGGAAAAGGAAATCAAGTATACCTTAGAGGACTGACAATGGCCGGAGGGGAATTAGGGAACCAAGTAAGAACCAACCTAACAACCAACAGCGTATTATATATATTCAAGAAGTTAGAAATTCCGTTCGCCACTAAAACCCCCGCCACAGAATCCCCAGGAAGGATTGCAGCAAAATTATGAACTGACAACGAGCTGCGATTCCCACGATTTCCGCAACGAACCTGGCAGAATAAGAGAAAAAGAAATTAATAAATTAGTAAGGAGAAGAGTGACAATAAAAAGAAAAAGGGTTTTCTCTCTGGATTACCTCGGCCAAGAATGTGCGGATCTCAGTGGAAAGGGAGAGGAGGGGCTTGACCCAGGGGTGGTTGGCGGCAGCGGCTATGGCGGAGTCTAGCGTTTCAAGAAGCCGAGCTACGGCGGCGGTAGGGCGGTCTTGGAGAGGGGGCTTCGAATGGAGGCGGAATGAGGAGGAGACGAGGACGGCTTGCGGAGAATCCGTGGGGAGAGGAGCCATGGTTTCACCTCTTTAGTCCGGTCAGAGATCACTGCTTTTAAAGAGAGAGGAAAGGATAACGTTCGCAGGTGGATGCTGTGGCCGTTGATGCATGTGGTTTTAGATCTACCCGCGCGCCCTAAAATGGCAATCTATAAAAAGAAAATACATGCCGAATGATTTTTTAAAATACATGAGGTTTTAACACTGCCGTTGTCAGGTCCCAAGTCTTGAATGAGAAAAATGGAGGGTTGCGTTAGGTAGTCGACAGTCAGCGTAAAACTTGTCGAACAATAATGACATGAATCCTTTAAGAAATTGTGTTAATGCTAGGGCGTCCTCTGGAAGCGACGCGCTGTATGGCCTGAATACAGTGACAAGTGTGCGAGGGCCGCTGCACTGGTGCCCGTGTGCAGTGTTAAAATAAACAAGAAAGTAAAAGTAGCAGAAAATTAAAGTATACCAAGATTTAAAGTGAAAAAATTGAAAATAAAGAAAAAAAAATCAGAGAGCTACACTACACCAAGAAATTTAGTAATCCACTATAAACATTGGGATAAATAAGTATAAATCTCTCTTCTTTCTCTCACTCTCTCATTTCTTCTCTTCTCATATGTACCGTTTTTTATGTCTACGCACACAAAATACAAGAAAAAGCTAAATAAAATAACCTCAAGGGACACAACCCATTAGAAAAATGAGAAAGAAAAATGTCTAATCTATCTCGCAGCACTGCAATGCCAATTTAAAGTGTTGCGACTGCTTGAACCTCTATCTTGATCCGCTGCAGCGCCAGTTTAAAGCGCATCAAATTTATTTTATTTGTTATTGTATGAAAGTCTTATTCTTTTCAATATTATATTATTTTTGTTCATGAACACAACCAACTTGTATATTTAGTAATTCATAAAATTAAAATCTAATTTTAAAGTTTAATAGGCTACATATATACCCACAATTCTCATATGTATGAATATGCAGCCAATGGAAAATAATAGGATTAATATGAGGACTTTTTGTCTTCATGTGCAATAGCTTCTCTTAATGTGCCCCCTATAAAAATGTTTCTGGCTTCAACACTGGCCTAATCTCTTGTGTAACTAAGACTTGTAAAATAAGGAAAACTAGGTTGGGTGGAGATAATAATGATGGACATTCTAAAAAAATTTGCTTTGAACTTTTTGTTGGAAAGTCTTTTGTGGAAGTTTCATCGAAGATGACCCTGATAATTTCGGATTGGTCTATCATAATTTTTTTCCCCTTAATGGAATAATTGAATAAATGTAAACTAATCAAATATATATTCTATATCATATAAAAATCAAAGTTTTTATTTCCTTAAGATTTTCTTATCTTAGCAAATGATATTAGTCAAATGACTAAAAGAAAAATTAGGCCAACTAATTAGTGCAAATAAATCATTTTAGATGGTAACAATAATCTTAAGTAGTCAAAATCAAACTATAAATGAAGAATAATTTGATATAATATCTTGATTAAAATATTATAATGATTAAATTTGAACATAAGCATACTATATATAAATTTATTTTCAATAATTTAAAATTTTTATCTGAATACTCCGACCACATATATTTTTCTTTAAAAATAATAATTATATTTAATAATATAAAGGACTTCTGTAAATATTTTCAAACGGCTTACGGAAGAGCCGATCGTATAAACTCACGCAATAAACATGTGGTTGAAAAAAAAAAAAAATCAAACCTTTACGCTGACCATAACTCCATTCCACCCGTCATATGGTCATACGTGGCAATTCACAATTCACTTTAACTAGCCAGGTCAGCATAGTCACATTTGGAGTCATTATTTTCTGTTCCGACATCCGAACGCGCCAGTTATCCCTTCCCCTTCTTAATGCCGCACGAGCAGTCCCTTCCTTCTTTCAGTCCTCATTCAACAACTCGAGCCCAACTTCTCTTCTCTTCCTTCTCCATGGCGTCTCCTCTGCTAAGACTTGCTCTCTCTCCTAGCCCTAAATCGAACAACGTAATCCTACTCCGTCCCGTCAGATTGCTCCACCATCTCGGTCCCCTCCGCGGTGGCCTTGGCGGCCTCGGCAGCGGCGCGGGAAGGTCGGTTTCGAAGTCGCTGAGATTAGTCCGAGCAAAGGCCGTGGAGTTTGGAGCAAAGGAGGGGGGTATCCAGCATCAGGATGCAAGAAACACGACAATTCTCTTGGAGGTTGGGGGTATGATGTGCGGCGCCTGTGTCTCCCGTGTGAAATCGATATTGTCTGCCGACGATCGGGTCGAATCGACGGTCGTCAACATGGTCACCGAAACGGCGGCGTTAAAGCTGAGAGATGGAGTTGAAGAGGAAGGGGAGGAAAGAGTGGCCGAGGAGCTTGCTAGGAAGTTGGCGGATTTTGGCTTTACGGCTAAGAGAAGGAGGTCGGGACAGGGGGTGGGGGAAAACGTGAGAAAGTGGAGGGAGATGGCGGAGAAAAAGGAGATATTGCTTGCAAGAAGTCGGAATAGAGTATTTTTTGCCTGGACGCTGGTGGCTCTGTGCTGCGGATCGCATGCTTCGCATCTCCTGCATTCTCTTGGAATACATATTGCACATGGTAGGATTTTCTTGCAAAGCATTTGCTGTTAATGGAAAAGTAACCAAAAACAAGCTTAAAATCTTTAATTGCTAAATTCTTACCCATTTTCAGTTAAATAGTTGATCTTTACATTGGATGTGTTATACAGGATCGTTTTGGGATTTGCTGCATAACTCTTATTTGAAATGCAGTATTGCAGCTGCTTCTTTGCTTGGACCTGGTAGAGGTAATTTCAGCACTTTCTTAACAAATTTTGTTCATGGAAAATGTTAGTTTTATGATGATTATCAAGAGATGAACCTTAACTAAACCGAAAGTTACCTTATGAATACTACTGTGAAGCATTAAGCTAAAATTTCTTCTGGGCGTAAATAAGCATTGAATGAAAGCTGACAAGCTGCAAGAATTCAGGCATTTGTGCTTACGGTGTTTGACAACTTTACTCCATGGTCTCAGTTAATTTTTTGGCAATTTACTTTCGTGCATTTCTTAGACATTTTGAAAATATTTATAGGCTAAAAATGATGAACCATGAATGATCTGTATGGCTTAGGGCTGGCTAAAAGTGTTGGTGATAAAACATGTTTGCATATACATCTCAATGCAAATATGAGCTTCCTTGTATGGATTAAATGCAAGGGCGGATTTAGGAGGAGGGCATGAGAGGGCACGTACCCCCCCCCCGCGTAAATATTTAATGCCATTATATATAATAGACATACATTAATAATTCATTATTATTTAATTTTTATGTTAGAGTTATTAGAATCAATTTGTTACCATCGTTAATATTATCACACGTGCTTAATATTTATTATAATATATAGTCATTATAAATGATACTCTCCTTTATCGTTCTTTTATTGCTATTCTATTCTCTTGTATTTATATTGGCATGCATTTTTTTTAGGGTTAGGATCAATGAAATAAAGATGAAGTTTTTTACAAATTTCGTCATGATATCAGAGGCACCTCTCTAAGTGTTTGCCTTTATCACTTCTTTGCATGAAGATCCTGTGAGGATTAGTCCTTTTGGCTTATATTCGCTCCATGAATGGAGATCGACCTTTGTGTTTGGTGGTGAAGGTTTGTGAACATCATGTAGATCATGTGGACAATACAAGATCTCATGAAGATCCCGTAAGAATCCTTTGAAGATCTTGTTAGGACCCCTTGAAGATCCTGTGAGGATTCTATCTTTTGGTGATGATTTTGTCACCTTTGATCTCGATAAAGGTTGACTCAATGTCTATCTCTCGATTTTTCATGCATCAATATCTCGGTTGTTCTTGGTTTTCTTGTTAAACATTTTGAAAATCTATTAAATAGCTCTTAGCTTGGATTTCTTAGTTCTTCTTGCATTGCACAAGCTCTCGATGCTTCTTGTTATAACATTATGGGTTTGTGGGAGGGTGTTAGAGTAATTAGAACTAGTTTGTGAGAAAGTCTTGTAACTGATAGATTGAACTAGGGTGTATATTATTTAGCAAACACGTATAATACTCACATTAGTTTATTCAATCAGACTTCAATTAACATTACTCACTTTTAAGGCATGTATACTTCCCCTGTTTGCAGATCTCCTTTTAGATGGTCTCAAAGCATTCAGAAAAGGCTCACCAAATATGAATTCTCTTGTGGGTTTTGGATCAATTGCTGCATTCCTGATTAGCTCTGTGAGTCAAATTTAAGAACTAGTTTTTCTAATGATAGTTGTTTTCCGTTGAGCTCTTTCCTTTCACTTTTAGCATGCTTAATTTACTAATCACCTTTTCTTTATTGCAGGTTTCACTTGTGAACCCAGGCCTAGAATGGGAGTCCTTCTTTGATGAGCCGGTGAATTTTCTTTCCATTATCTTTTGTAAACCTTTTCCCCTGATTATTTTGTGGCACAGATATGAGTTCTCTATTAGAACAATTTCTACCTTTACACACACACACACACACACACAAACACATTGCATGTAGGAATTCCAAAGCTTGCCTTTAATTTGCTGTGTTTGTTCATGCTTACAAATGCTGAATCTACTGCATGCATATTGGTGACTTGATATATATCTGAATGGATGTGTCATTGAATGCCTATATGCAAATTAATGTACCCATTTTTATCTTTCCGTGAGTACATTATACATTTAGTTTCATATTGATTTACCGGGGTTTCACGTTGTTCTGGAAGCATATTCTCAATCTTCATAATTTTTTTCTTAGCATTCAGGTCATGCTTCTTGGTTTTGTACTTTTGGGACGTTCTCTTGAAGAAAGGGCCAGGCTCCAGGCTTCCAGTGACATGAATGAACTGCTGGTAAGTTCTTGGATTAATGAAGTATCCTATTATCAATCTTTATGTTGTCCACTCAATTTTGTTTGGTCTTTTAATTTATTCCTCTACATATGTCCTTACATGTTGAGAAGTTTAGTTAAATCCATTTTGACAAAATTACATATTAAAGATTTTGAGCTATAAACCTTTAGTTAAACTAAAATCATAAATGCTATTGCAAAATGGAGTTGATTATTGCATGAAGTATGATAAATCTTCTGCTCCACGTATACAAAATTTATCTGCCTATAATGGGCTGCCTATTAAATACTGAAAACATGTGGATTTAGTTTATACAAGAAGCTTTAAAAATTAAATTTGATTATCGCATGCTACTAATATGATGCATTTTTTGCAGTCTTTGGTCGCTACTAAGTCACGATTAGTGATAACTTCATCTGAAGAACCCACATCACCTGATAGCTTTCTAAGTGCTAGTTCCGTTAGCATTGAAATCCCAACTGATGATGTCCGGATCGGAGATTCACTTTTGGTGTTGCCTGGGGAAACCATTCCAGTTGATGTATGTTATCATTATCAATTGCTTGAATTTTGAATGCTCCTCTATTTTATTTTATTAATGTAATATTGTTATATAGTGATGGTTTTAAAGCTTATTTACCTCAAATTGGAATATGTTGATATTGATACATTTGGGTTTGTTCTTGTTCTTAAGCACGTGAGCACTTGTTCATATGCAATACATAAAATTAACTCTTTAAATTAGGATGTGGGCGTCCTAGTTATATTATATAATTTTTGGAAATAACGATTTGATCACCTGGAAAAAGCCACCCCTTCCTTGTCCTTCCTCGATGTTCAAGAGAAACTCGCGAGTAGTTTTCTTTGAGGTAGATTGGGTTTGTTTTAGTTAGATCCCACTTGAAGTTAAATATGAGTTTATTTATATTTTAGTTTGGACTTGCTATGAGCCCAAGTCCTCATGGTTGACTACATCTCTCGCTTGGGGGAGTGAGCTTCACTTAAAGAGGTTGGTTATACGACCCAACTTGAGAGATTGGAATACCCAGGCGAGTGTAGTCAACTAGGTGTTTGTTTTATTCTTTTTAATTAACATGACCATTAGTCCAACATAAGCAATTAAGAGCTACTAAACCATAATATTTTGTTAATAGTCAAACCACACACAAAATAGTTCAATTTCATACATTTCAAATACATGAACTAAAATCATGTGCAGGTGATTATTAAATACCTATTTTCACTTGCTCCTCTCCTATGGTAAACAAATCCTTCTTTGTCACCCATTCAATCTAGAGGGGCATTTCCTGAATATTAGCATTCTATAATTAGTTGAGTTAACATAATAAAACTCAATGGCTAATTATAGTTCTATAATATATCAATTTGAAAAAAATAAAATGCATGTGAGTGATTGAAAGTATATTTACATTTTATTTACAACGAATTTACATATATGCTATACTAAGTTAAAGTAAAGGCAATATCAGTTTGCAAAAGCTAACATTTTGTGATGTATTTATCATATCATATCTTTTATTATAGCAGTTGTCTCATGAGCAATGTCTAAAACTTGCACCAATTAAGGCACAACCCCTTTTTCATTTCCTTTTTTTTTTCTAAACTTTTTTTATTTTATATTCACGGGTATATTGCGTCCCCAGTTAGTACCATTTGAGGGTGAACTCCTTCATTCGACATGCATATACATTTCCTATTTACAACCTTTCATTCATTATATGTAAACATACTTTGACTATGATTGAAATAAATACATTTTATTTAACACCATGGAAGACATATATGCTCAGAAAAGAAATAATTATTTCAATCATTTAGCGGCAAATTATATTCTTAAAAATATTAAGTGAGCACTTAAACGTTATATCAATTAATAGATCAAGATTAAGATAAGAACTATACTTTGTCATAAAATAGAGCTCTAATTACCCAACTCAACCTCAAAGATTTGTTTTAACCCATTACTTTTGAAACAACACATTCCTTAGTTGAATATCTATAATCATACATATAAAATGTTCTTGTTAATCCAATTATTTTCTTTTTCTCAACTCTGATATTTGTATATATATAAATTATTCTTCTTCAAATCAATCTCTTAACTTGATTACCTTTATAATAGACAACTTTAAAAAAATTTAATTTGTGTATCTTTCTCGCTTAACCTAGATCAAGATTAAGACCATTAGTCTTTTAAATAAGTTACTTGGTATGAAATATAATAAATTTACCTCAAATCGACTAAACCATAATGTCCAAAATTTTCTCTATAAAATTTGTAGTCTTAAAATCTGGGGAACAACATATATTATAGAAAAACATCTTAATTTTCCAATTTCTCAATAAAATTCTCAAAAATCTTCTTATTTAATCATACCTCAAATGCTTCTTTTGCGCAGTCACCACATCTTGAATTATTCTTTTATTACTACACTTTGAAATCTGATACAATTTTTCTATGATTATAAATATAAAGCAAAACAAATCTAAATTGACTTCTCTGATTTGTATCTCAGGAAAGGCAAAACGAATACATTCCAATACATTAACTCAATCATGTTAAATCATCTTGTAAACCTTTGTATAAATCTTGCTCAGCTTGGTTACACACAAAACTCCAATCTTTTCTTTTGCGTGCTAGAGCGTTCATCTGATTTCTCTCTAAATCGGATGACCTAGCCTCTTCCTGTAGTCGCTCTTAGTTTTGCCTTCGTTCTCTTCCTAGTATGAGTGAATTTTTCTATTCCATTATTTTCTGTTTCCTCCTTGCTGCCCTCTGACTTTCTTTCTTTCTCTTGTTCTCTCTGTGAATTCATTCGTTCTTTGCCTACCATTTCATCTTTCACTGTAGCTTATGCACTCAACTCTATTTTCTCTCACCTTCTTCATCTGATTTCATTACTATGTTTGTTCGTGTACCTGTAAGGAAACGAAGTTCGCTTGTGTCTTTGTAAGGAAATAGAATCGCAGCCTCCTCTATGTGAGATAGATTGCAGTGGGCTTTGGTGACTTTTTCTTTTTAATATTTAAGCCATGGGACTTACTCAGCTTCAAATAGCAATTTTTGCTATGTCAAATGCTATCAATGGTTGCGAATGTGTGAATCTTAAGCGAGTGCTTATTACAATTAACATATTTACTAATGTGCTGCATTCATCGAATTTCTTCTTCTTCGGCATTCCAAATTTAGATGCAAGTCTAAAGCAAATTTTAGAGTTTTACAGGATTCATTCAGATGATTGTCAATATTTTTATCGAGTCATTTTGCGGGTCTAAGATATGTTTGTGGATTGTTTTTATTGTCTTATTACCAGAATGACAGATGAATTTGATGAAATTAGTCCATTTTTTATAATCAAAATTTTGATTAAGCTTGTTGATGACATCAAAATAATTTTATGATTTCCTGAAAGATATTGATGAGTTTTAGCCTTATGCAATTGCCTATAATTAAGAAATTACTCCCTAGAGGGAATAGAAACCTAGTTCCAAATTAAATATAAATAATAGAGGGGTGGTCTTTAAAACTTTGTCAGGCCAAAGACGATGGCACGGGGTCTTTTGATGTAGCTGAGCTAAAGATCAGCAACACATTGACTGTTCAACACATTTCTTACTTTTCTCGGTAGCAATTATGAGAACAACAATTTGTCAATTTCAACTAATTTCTATCGGTAGGCTGCCATAGAGAATGAATGCGTTGATGGGTTAGATTTTCCTTAGGATAATGATGACAACATTTGACAATGATTTGAATAATTTGATAGTCATCGCAGAATGCTTGATCATGGGTGGTTGTTATAGGATAGACAATCACTCCTTATATCCAAACCAAATATCAATGAAGGGAGGGGAGACTCCATGATATACCAAAGATCAATGGCAAAATGGTGTTCTTCAAAATCAAACTGAATAAAAAATCACTTGTGCAAAATCATCAATTTAATTAGATTGAAGATCAACTTCTTCTATTTCTCACTTGCAGTTGCTTGCTAGGAATATATATATATATGGTCTTTTTATGATTAGCAACTTGTCCTACGGTCAGTATTGCAGAATCTTTGTTTTTTAGCATAGTGAACTACTCAGGATTGTATATTATGCTTCTTCTTGTGCTCCTATGCAGGGAAATGTTCTTGCAGGAAGAAGTGTTGTTGATGAATCCATGCTAACTGGAGAGTCTCTTCCGGTGTTGAAAGAAAAAGGTTCACCCATTTCTGCCGGAACTATTAATTGGGTATGAGTATTCTTGCAACATTATTCTACGTATGGCTCCTAAGTTACCTATTCTTGGTAACAATAACATCATCTACACGAAAAAGCTTTCCATTATAGTAGAAAAGAAATAATGAGATATTAGTTAATATTTTATCTAGAAACTTGGTGCAGTAGCCACCGACTAGTAATGAGCTATATCTATTGCCATTTTTCGCTGATCATGATACATAAATATGTGCATGTATGACTATATAAGTACAAAATCAGGCCATGATTAAAGTATATATACGCATGCACACATACAAAAAATGTGCATATTTTTTAAAAATACGGGTACAAAAGCAGACACATGAATATGAAGTATATACACTGAATAGTCATGTCTTTTTGAATATATGTAGTGAAAGAAAGCAAGGCCAACCACTATCAACATAGGCTCTCAAGTAAAATTAAGAACTTTTGTATCCAATTACTTCTGATGCAGCCCATGAAAATGTTCTGAAAATGGCTCTGATGGACTTGTCTCTTACTCTTGTCAGTTAATGGTTGGTCATCATCTAATTTATGACTATACATAAATAATTCGTAAGTAATATATGAACTTGATTCTTTAGCAGAGTTTCATTTTTTTTTTTTAATTCTTGGGATTGAATGGTTTATCAAATCATGCTTTCTTTGAATTCTTTTATTATTCATCTGACAGCCTAGTTAAACGTAATTGAAAATGTGAAGATCGATGTGTAGGAAAGTTGAGTAGGATAGAGGTTAAAATGATATTGTTAGAGAGATGATAGGAATAATACCTATGAAGAATAAGATAGGGGAGGATATGTAGGAGGTTTGTTGATGGACAATTGAGGGCGAAACATACATCATTACTATGGGTTGATAGAACTTATAAGGACTAAGAAAGAAAAAGGGGCATGAACTAGAGCTAGCACCTATGTAGTTCTCAATAAGGAAGGAATGGAGAAGAAGAATTCATAAAGTCAATCTTGAATAATTCTGTAAGGCTAAAAAGATGGTTTTTTACCTGTATTTTACTCTTAGGCGTGTTGAAAACATATTGAATTCTCATAACTTCAGACTTAGGCTGAGTTTAAATACTTTTGACAGCTGAATTCTTGATACGTTTTATTTCCAGGATGGTCCCCTAAGGATTGAAGCCTCAACAACTGGTGCCATGTCAACAATCTCCAAAATTATTCGAATGGTATGTATGCATTCACTCTAAAAATATCAACTGCCTTTTTAAAGAAAACGTGCGAGAATCGTTATATTGCATTTGTCATAGGTTGAGGATGCACAGGCAAAGGAAGCCCCCGTTCAGAGACTTGTAGATTCGATTGCTGGGCCTTTTGTTTACACTGTAATGGCTTTATCAGCTGCTACTTTTGCTTTTTGGTAAGTCCTGTTTACTTGCTATTTATTTTTACTGCATTAGGATGTAACTATTTTTGCTTTTGTTAATGTTCTTTTGGTTTTCCACTTACTGGCAAAACCTTTATTATGGGAGAGGGGAGTGGTCTGGTCAAACAAAGGAAAGGGGTTTGGCTTTTGTTTGAAATCTCCCGGAAATAAGAAGCAGAGTGGTCTAGTCAAAGCATTTTTCATTTTAATTCGTGTAATATAAAAAATAAACAAGCTTCCTAGGAATAAAAAGCAGAAGTAAACTGCAAAAGTTCATTTCTAAAAAAATTATTTTCATTTCCACAACAATTCATTTATGAGTTACTCTCACTTAGTATTAGCTGTCTCTTCTCTTTTATATATGATAGGTATTACATCGGAACAGACATTTTCCCAGATGTACTGCTGAACGATATTGCTGGTCCTGAAGGGCATTCCCTGCTTTTAAGCTTGAAACTAGCTGTTGATGTGTTAGTGAGTATTGATCATTTTTTTTAACTCTATTCAAGTTTAAATTGTTAAAATATATATTTTTTCCGTTTAAAAGCATTATTTGTGGTAATGAAGTAATATATTCAATGCAGCACAAGTTTCTAAATATATAATTCCTTCATTTTGAGATTTTTAGATGATTTTACTAATTTCAGAGCATTTTATCATAAGCTAAATGTTACATTATGGATTTATCGCGTGCCTATTTTCTCCGTTGAAATTCTTATATAGTTATATACATAGCATGATTGTACATCTTAGTCCAGAAATCTAGACTCAATCCTTTCGTTTGCTGTTTTTTTTAACTCAGGTAGTCTCCTGCCCATGTGCGCTGGGTCTTGCTACACCTACGGCTATCTTAGTTGGCACTTCTCTGGGTAACATTTCTAATTTGAGAAATTGCAATTAATGGCGCTAAATTCTTTTGCATAATATTTGACAAAACAATCTAATGTTTTTCACTCATTTGTGTTCGATAAAATTTTAGATTCCATTTATGTACGCATTATACTTTTTAAAATAATAGAATATGCTTTATTAGTAGAAATTTGGAGTAATGTTCTCATGTTTGCCATTGATTCAAATGAATATATAACAAGATGCAACATTTGAATTTAGCAGTATATATATATATATATATAATTCTCCTACAAATCAAGTTTAGCCTAATTAAATGCATATCAAATCATTTAAGAAAATATATACAACTAGGGTAACTAAATAAATTCAATGAATGCATTATTCGTTAACATGCTCCCTCAAGATGGAGCTCTGGTCAGAGAGTCCAATATTGACACTCAATGTAGAGGAGCAAGTTCTTGTAAGTTGTTTGGTGAAAGTCTCCTATAGTTTATCCTTAAATGATGTATGGGCCACATGAAAGACACCATTTTGAACTTTTTCATAGATGAAATGGTAATTAGTAGCCATATGTTTCATCCATCCGTGAAAGGATTTGCACAACAATGAGTGTTTTCAATTATATAATTAATTAAAATAATACAATTAAAAATAATAATGATAATAAGAAATAAAAAAAAGAATGAATGAAAATGATTCAAGCTTCTAACATACTTCAAATATCCGGAGCTGAGTTATAAAATATTTCATACTCCATAGGCTCAAATTAAAAGTGTATAAGCAAGTAAAATTATTATTTTTAATTAGAACCTGATATGTTACAAGTTGAATCAACGAACCCACTCTTAATATTGCATGAGTAATCTTCTCGAAATAAAAAGACAAAAAAATTCTTTTACTTAAAATAATTTTTTAATTATAATATTATATCACGTTTCCTTCACCAATATTAAAACATTTGGGATTGCATGCTAGAAGGAAATGACATGCTGGGTTGTGTTCTAAATCATTAACATGTTCTTGATGAATATCTAACCAAGTAAATAAATTTATTTGAGTAAAAATGATGATTTCTTCACATGTATCTATATATAAAATAAAAAAATATTGAACAAAAGAAAAAGAAAAAGAAAAAAAATATAAAGCTTACATGCATATGCACATAATGTGTAAAATTATGCATATATATAAGATGGCTAAGTTGATGTTATATGCATACACATATTAACCTCTAGGTAAAAAAAAGAGGCAAAGATATCTAATATTTGTCGAGATCCAGTGAATTCAGCCAGAAATCTCGCTACAGTACACTGTTCTGCGCCGACGCCGCTCCTTGCATCTCTTCCTGGAAAAGCTACCCGAATCGCGTGCCTCCTAGACGCTTTTCTCGTCGTTAAATACCAAACGAAGGAAGCCTTCGGGTCTTCTTCCTCTCCCACCGTCGAGCCCAAACAGAACCCCACCGGGAGCTCCGGCCCAGCAGCCTCTCTCTCCAACTCCAGTCTGACGCCATACGAGAGCATCCCGTCATTTGGCACCTACCTGAAGCGCGGTGTCATTTGACACCTACCTGAAGCGCTCAAGTAGCAACGAGGGGAAGGTTGCCTCTTGGTTTTTCCCCTAAACGAGGGAGACGCTGGGAGGCTACCGAAATTCCATCTGAAAATACGAAGGACTCATGAACATAAACTTGACTTGAACAAATTAACATGAACTTAAATCAATTCACAAATAACAATGACTTGAGATTGTAGTTTGGGACAACTACAAGGAACTTGAACTTGAACTGAACTGGGACTCGAACTGTGTTGAGTTCCAATAAAAGAAAATGATGATGAGAAGTTTTTTCTATCATGCAATTATTACATGAATATTCAATAAATTAACCAAATAGCTTTTATTTGCATTAGATAATACGAGTGGAAATTGGAAGTCTTAGTTAACTGTGTGAATATTTGTTTTTTAGAGTTATGATAAAATAAAAAATCTATATATATAAACAAATCTGAACCCATAATTCAGAAATTTCTTCATCAATAATGCATTAAGACTATTTTTTTCTTATTTTATGAACAGCATATTGATTGGTATGTTCGGGAAACTGAGAAAGGTGATAATCGCTAATTTTGTTTAGCTTATGTTAGAGAAGACAAGCAGGATTAGAAGTGGTAATAACTGTTCATTATTGAATTGCTTTTAAGTCAAAATTTCAGCTGACAAAAAATATCACCATCATCAAAATTTATGAAAAGGCGTTAGAAAATGAGGCCTTATAATTATGCAGATCCACATGTCAATGCAATATGCAAATATCTTCACTTAGAAACAGAGAAAAGAAGTATCATTGTTCTTATGACTATCTTAAAAATTTTAAAAATTTATCAGAAAAGCCATTGATTGTCCAAATTGGATGGTTTTATGTCAAATATGACATCTTCTTTTATTCAGCACCTTGCCATAGAACCTGCAAAAAAGAAAAAAAAAATCTCAATTTACAACAAAAGGAAAGTATTAGAAAACTTGCATGTAAGAAATTTCAAGCTACATGTAATAGCCTTAGACACTTCAAGGAATTATAATCACAATTAGTCAAGAGATTTGATTTAATTTTTAATAATAATGGAGAGTGCTAAAAAATATTAGAAATTAATCGTAAAGCTAAAGAAGGGCGTGGAATTATTAAAAACTCATGCCTGGGGCTTATTTGTGTCAATATTAGACTTTGGCTAATAAACTCAACCTAAATATGCTTAATTTCAACTCGATTGATTAGGCTTACATGCTGAGGGTCCTGATACAATAATTGGTCCGCCTTGTTCACAATGCAAGGTTGTAGAACGCTATTCTTTGATCTTCAACTCAGTGCAAAAACACTCACATTAAAAGGTGCCTAGAATTAGATCTATAAGTTGCTACCTATTCAATATTTCTTGATATATCAAAGTTATTAATACTCCTATACAATATATGATTGGCTATGCAAAATAAGTCAACTTTTTAATAGATGCAAGCCCAAACTCAAAATTATAATTAGGCTATCTTGCCTATAGGGCAATGTCATAAGACCTAACCCTTTTGGGCAACTCTCAAATAAAATATTAAGCCTCATAATAGTTCATCTTGGGCCTTCCAATGGATACTACACCGATCCCAATTAAATTTGTCCTTTTAATGGATGTCAACCCTAACTTAAAATTGTAATCAAGTGGCCTCTCCTATAAGGCGAGTTTTTAAGTTTGTCATTCGACAAACTCATAAATAGAGTTGAAAGCCCCCAAACTAATTAAATTCAGGTCTTTCAATGGATTTAAGCCTCAACTCAAAACATATCAGAGCCAACCTCTATACTAACAAGCCTATCAAATTAGTTGAAACTACAAATATAACTTATACAAAAATCACATGTAGTCACCTTGGTCTATTTGAGATTCTCGAGAGGAGGCAACCTATTGTTACTAATTAAATTCTTTAAAAATTATGACTTATGATTCTTTGATGTTGGTAGACTAAGATCGCAAGGATTCATGGTACGACGGAGCCACGAGATCTTTATCGATCCATTCCCCACAAACATTTCAATTAATTTAGACACACTTCAAAGTATTAAGCATAAGTATAAAACAATATGAAATTAATCATTCTTAATCGAGAACACTCTTCCGTAAGTGGGAGGGGTAATTAATTACAAGGGTTGGCACTCATAAAAAGTTTAGATCTTAGATCTAAATAAAACCTGATATAAATATTGGGAGAAATCTTATTAATTTAAAATTAATCTACCTCGTAAAGAATGAATTCTTTTTTTTTCGTAGGTCGAGAAAGGTAGAAAATGCACCAAAAAAAAAAAAGAAGTAAAGAATGAATTCTTAACTTAGAAGTTGGGGTTTGTAGCATTTTTCTTGAGCAAACAATGGGTAACACCTACATTATCACATTAAATCACCAAATTGTAAGAAGTTGTCTCCACCCTCTTTTATAGTAGAATTCACAAGTGAAATCTGAGTAAATCATACACATTTTGTAAAATTTCATAATTATGAATATAAAAGTATTATATAAGTTGAATGTAACATCTATTGAAGGTATCTTAAGAAAAAAAAGCTTCGGTGATTTGTACATAAACAAGCGGAAAAAGATGCTGTAACAAAACCAATAGATAAAATTAATGATTAGAGATTATAACCAAAGAAGGGCAGAGCAAAATGATATAAGTTGAGCACCTTGTGAAAATTACATATAGAACAAAAAGAAATGAGTGCTTAAACTGATTTCAAATATAAGATAAAACTAATTATGTTATGTATAAAAAATTGATTAGCTAGTAACTAATAATAGAAACCCAATAGCTTAAAATTCATAACAAATGGGCGAATCATTGTCTATGGATTTCAACTTAGAATAATTGGGGACTAAGGAACGAAAATGCCTTGTTCAATAAGTAGGAAGTAGACCCAACAATGCTCAACATCATGATAGGAAATTCTTGGATTTCCAAGTGTTTCTCACCAAAACCAAAGTAAATCCAAGCAAATATTGCTTTCCACAGCAGAAAAACAGCAAAACTGCAGAAAAACTGAGAGAAAGAAGTAGGGAGAATCGAAGAAAAACGATGCAAACGCTTTTATTTCAATAAAGGATGAAAAGCACTTGCAAGATACAACTTTCCTTCAATTCGAGAGGAAGGAAAAACTCTCCAACGATCTCCGGCAACGCCAAGAGCCCAAGAACAACAAACCCTAGATCTCTCAAGAAATTCAAAATCAAGATAATCCCCCTTTTCCTCCTAACCTCCTAATTAACCATAAAGGAGTTTTACAAAATGTCTAAACAGCCCCTCACATTCAAAATTTCCCTCCCAAAATTCTTCCCTGGCCCCCGTCGGCTTTGCTCCCTCCGCTCGGTTCCGCCCGCGTGCTTCTGTTTCGTCGCGAGAAGACCCGGACCGGTCCAGGTTGGACCGGTCTAGCCGGCCCCTCCTGGGCCGGCGTAACACATCAGTGGTGGTGACAAAGCGGTATTTAGCCTTGGTGGGGGAGCGGTTTACAATGCTTTATTTCTTGGTGAACTCTAAGAAATGGGGGTTGGGCTACAATTATTTTGCTTCTTTGCATAATCATGTCCTTTATGAACGGATAAACATTTTAAACCAAATAGATAAGGTTCATGAACATGCTGATGTGTAAAAGTAGCAACGCCATAGATTGCCCATGCTCTAGCTCTGGTGATATTCTCATAGAAATTTTATGATGGTATCCTAAACCTTCATTCCAACTTATGGTGTTGTCTGTTTACCAGCATCAACGGGGATATTATTTTGATGCATGAGTTGGTATATTTTATTTTATTTTTTTCACTCTGAGTTCATATGGTGTTTTGTTATGGCATTTCATTGGCTTCAATTTTTTTATTTTCCCATCTTCAAATGCATTCACGATATTTTCATAAATTTGAAATCAGCCACAGGGTTAGTGCATGTTTTTCTTGGGTGAAATTTGCCATGTTTCTCTCTCATTGTTGTGATCTTCGTTGTTCGTTTCAAAATTGATATTCTTTTCAGGGGCTAAACAGGGACTTCTTATAAGAGGAGGAGATGCTTTAGAGTGTTTAGCAGGCGTTGATATTGTGGCGTTAGACAAAGTATGTTTATTCAGACATGCCTTCAGCTTTAGTGCATGAGTTTTAATTTATCTTGTGGTGCTTGCGTTTAATTTATCTGCTGCTACAATGAAGATCATTTTAAGTTCTATTCTAAGATTTGTTTAACATATTTTGTGGCGTTTTACCCTTTTTAGACTGGGACACTCACAGAAGGAAAGCCTGCAATTACAGCAATTGCTTCTTTGGTTTACAATGAAACTGAAATTCTTCGACTTGCTGCTGCTGTGGAGAAAACGGCATGTCACCCCATTGCAACGGCGATCTTAAACAAAGCTGAAACTTTGAGGTTACAACTACCTAGTACTAGAGGCCAATTAACCGAACCTGGTTTTGGCTCTATGGCAGAGATTGATGGATCTCTAGTTGCTGTCGGCAATATGGACTGGGTTCATGAACGTTTTCAGAGGAAAATAGCTAAAAAGGAATTGATGGATCTCGAAAATCATTTAGGTTACGTTTCATCCAATTGGGCACCATCATTGAATCAGTCAAGTTCAGTAGTTTATGTGGGCCGTGAAGGAGAAGGCATCATAGGTGCAATAGCAATCTCGGATACACTTCGTCTTGATGCAAGTTCAACTGTGAAGAGGTACTCTACTAAACAGACTAGGCACCTTCCCAGAACTTTGTTGCATTTTATCTCCTTTATTAGAATGCACTGTTGGAGTTCAAGTTTGTTTCATAAACCACATGAATTCCGCCATTACATCAAACAAGAGTCTGTTCCAGCTTGAACTTTCTGTCCATTTTGTTTATTAAGGTCAAAATGGAGTTTTTTCTTTTTATTTTTCTTTTGTTTGAAAAAAAAAGTGCGTCTGTTTATACTTTTGGGATTTTTATTTTTTGAAAAAAAAAGCTATTTATATTTATATTTCCAGATGATTTTTCCTCACTCTGTCTCTTTGAACTGTAAGGCTTCAGGAGAAGGGAATCAAAACTGTCCTCGTATCAGGTGACAGGGAAGAGGCAGTGGCTGATGTGGGAAGGATGGTTGGGATTGAACTTTTAAGGTCATCTGTAACTCCCCAACAAAAGTTTGATTTCATATCGAGCTTGCAAGCTGAAGGAAATCATGTTGCGATGGTAACTAAATCCTATTTTTGAACAGTTTTGGTTCAAATGCCATCGCTTTGATTAGGAAGGAATTATGAGATTATCCATTTATTTCCTATTTCCTTTTTCATAAAGGTTGGGGATGGCATAAATGATGCGCCATCTTTAGCACTTGCTGATGTTGGAATTGCTTTACAAATTGATGCCAAAGAGAACGCAGCATCAGATGCAGCTTCTGTAATACTTTTGGGTAACAGACTCTCTCAGGTAAATCATATTCAAATGTTTTACTGTTAGAACTTTTTTTACACTTACAATTGTTTTTTACTTCAGTTCTATTAAATATTCCTGCACCAAATCTACAATGTTTGCCTTAGATTGTCGATGCTTTAGATCTTGCTCGGGCAACTATTTCCAAAGTGCATCAGAATTTAGCATGGGCGGTTGCATACAATTTTGTTGCCATACCAATTGCTGCAGGAGTACTACTACCACAATTTGACTTTGCTATGACACCATCACTCTCAGGTGAGTGATGAAGGGAAAATTATTACGTACGGCGTCCGGATTCGTCCGGAGGCGAATCCGGTCGCACCACGTCACCCGGGGCCCAGTGCATCTGGGTGACGTGGCGCGTCCGGATTCGCCTCGGGACGGTCCGGACACCGCACGTAATAATCTTTATGGATTTGCTTTCAATCATGATTGATGAATGAAATAAATATAGATTTAACATAGTTATGTTTTGTTTTTATTCAGGAGGGTTAATGGCGTTGAGCTCCATCTTCGTTGTCTCTAATTCTCTGCTTCTGAGGCTGCAGTTTTCTGACAGGAAGAGGGAACTGCGCTAGCTAAAGAAAGATGGTTCTGTGATTTCCCCTCCAACAATTTATTCTTTCCACAATATATTGGTTTCTTTGTATAACTAGTTCTCATTCACCTGCTTTGCCTGTATTGTCATTTAAATAATTGATTGGCCAATAAAAGCTTGATCTTAGGTTTTGTTTGAATTTGAATAAACCATTGACATAACTGCTCCTTGGAACTTGTCCAACCTTAGTGAAGTTAGCCAGCAAATTCATGTTGATTCACTTCGTACTTGAAAATCACTAATATCAAATATACTATACTACAGTTTACTACCTGAGCAAAATTTCATCCAACGTTACTATACTACAACTTAAATCTTTGAACAAAATATCAAATATACGGGACGAGCAGGGCAGCTGGTTGAGCGAAAAAATTCCTCCCCCGGCTCCCATGTTCGATCCCTAACTCCAAAAAATAAAAAAATAAAAAATAAATAAATAAAAAAATCAAATATGCCACCACTCTTAATCCATTAAAACTTCCAACTCCTTCATGGTTTCCCAACGACTGCTATAGCAGTGAGGACTTAAAACTATATCAACAACAAAGAACATGACGAGGAGTACATTGTACAAACACCTTAAGCTCTGAAACTCAAAATAACAAATATAACAAGTGCTGATATATCATTAAAAAATTATCTTGATTGAGCACGAATCTCAAGGCAAATTCATATTGGAAACTTTCAAAATTAAATTTGAGGCCATCTGAACTTTTATTTCACCATACTTATAGTTGAAATGAATGTCTTGAAAAGACGAGCCCAACGACATCAAATTCAATCCAATCTGAATCCCAATGGGTCCAAATTGAGGGCTCGAAGCACATTTAGATAGTTCAAAGCATAAATTTGATGACCAAATGACATCCAAATGTGATTTGCTTATAGTCGAATCGAGCGGCTCAACAAGACGAATCAAACGAGCCCAATATCGCTAAATTATGACATTATTAAATACTTAAATACTCAATAAACAATCTATGATCAATGAGTCGATTTTGACCGTTAATTCAAAATAGTCATCTATTTACTCGTCATTCCACTCCTAAAAATTTATAAATAGATTCCTCATTCTCCATAAAAGAGGAGGGGTCGAAAGAAAGAGGAGAAAGCAAGGAGAAAAAGGGAGGAGAAGAGGAAGCAGCAAGGAGAAATATGATATCTCTTTTACTATCATGTTCCTCGATCATTGCCCGATCACCGGTCGTCATCGAACTTTCGTCAAACTTCCACCTAACTATAAACTTTTGTCGAACTTATGGCCAACCACTAATTATTGTCGGATTTCCTCCCGGTTATCGACTGTCATCAGACTACGGTCCTTCTAACTACGGTCGCCAGTCAACTACGATCACTCTGATAGTCATCTCCAGAATACAATCTTTTTGTCCCCTGTTGCCCGATTGCAATCCTTTTGATCACTATCCCTTGCCGACTACGATCTTTTATACCTCTCTCGCCTTCGACCAGAGAATTAAGCCAAATAGCCGGTGTTGTACCGGTTCTCCAACCATTTTGATCCGGCTCTAAAAATGGCTTAAGTAGTCCAACCAAAAAACAAATTACTTTTTTTTGGCAAAGAAGGTAATTCGAAAAATAATTCCTTCAAGAACACAAGCAAAATCAGTTACGTTATTGTTTGCGTCGCCTGAGAGATTCGAACTCTCGCGGGGAAACCCCATGTACTTAGCAGGCACACGCCTTAACCACTCGCCCAAAGCGACGATCATTATTATTTTATAAGAATTCTTTAAATTATTTCATTAGGAACTCCAGCACAATTTAAAATGCACAGTTCCAAGAAGGAACGAAGCAGCGGAGGCGGAGTACGAGCCTCGAGTGTTGCATCAGTGTGTAGAGTTATGTTACTGGTACGTCGTCGACGTACTTTCCGACGCCCAGGTCTACGCCGAACATGCTTGAAAGTATTCATACATGGACTTGCGTTCGACCGGATCAGTCGCCCAGTCGGCGTCGGAGTAGCTTCGGAGACATAAGGATCCTCGAGTAATCGGCAACCCGAAATCAGCTGTGCCTTTTATATAGCGGAGTAGACGCTTAAGAGCTGCGAAATCGCAATTCCTTGGTTGGTGCATGCACTGGCATATTGAATTGATTGTGAACGCGATGTCAGGCCGTGTGATGGACAAATACTGGAGCGATCCCGCCAATTTGCGGAAGAGCTGTGGATCAGAGAAGAGAGACTCATCTTGAGTCTTAGACGGCTTGGTGAGCGCCGGTGTGGAGGAAGGTTTGCAGCTGGAGAAACCTGCTTGAGAGAGAAGTTCATGTGCGTAGTGTGTTTGATTTAAGAAATAACCATAAGTGGTTCGAATCACCTGAATTCCAAGGAAGAGCGAGACATCGCCTAGTTGTTTGATCCGGAATGCGGACTGAAGGTGATTTAAGGTGAGATGTATTTGAGTTGTGTCATTGCCTGTGACCAGGATGTCGTCCACGTAAATGAGGATGAAGACACGGGTGTCCGCCTTCACGTATAATAGGAGGGAAGGATCTGCTTTGCTGAATGTGAAACCAATGAGTTGAAGCGACTGTGTTAGTTTGTGAAACCAGAGTTGAGGAGATTGTTTTAACCCGTAAATCGATTTATGTAGCTTGCAAATGTATTGCGGGTGTTGTTCGTCCTTGAAACCACGAGGTTGCTTCATGTACACTTCATCGTGCAGGTCGCCATGTAGGAAGGCATTGAAGACGTCTAACTGAGTTACCGGCCAGTTGTGATGTAGGGCTATCGTGAGAAGCATTCTAATGGTAACCATTTTCGCCACCGGACTGAATGTTTCAGTGAAGTTTACCCCGAATTCTTGAGAACAACCGAGAGCGACTAAGCGAGCCTTGTAGCTTGCGATTTGGCCATTTGGAAGGGACTTTATCTTATAAGTCCATTTACTGCCTTACACGAGCTTATTGAGTGGTGCCGGAACCAACTACCAGGTACCAAGCTTCTGCAATGCAGAGTATTCAGTGGACATGGTCGAACGCCAGTGGGCATGTTTTGCCGCTTCGGTGTTGGAAGAAGGCATTGGCGAAGTTTCCTGCGAAGCCAAGAGATCAAATATTTGTTTTGGTTTTGAAATACCTGACCTCAGCCTTGTTTGCATATGGTGACGAGGGGGGGAGGAGAATAAAGGCCTGTTGCGAATTGAATTTTGGAGCTGAGAACTAGACGAGGCCTGCGGGGATTCGGAGATGGTTGTAGTATCAGCAGGAGACAGATCAAGCTGGGCAGAGTCCAGATTGGCTGGAGTACTGATTGTAGCCGAGGTGAGCGGAGCAGAAGTAGTTTGAGAGACCGTCGAACTGGGAATGAGCAGAAGAGGAGAGTAGTCGCACTGTGACGTGCCCGACGGCGAGCTTGGTGAGGGATGTTGATAAGGAAAAAATATTCTCGTAAAACACCATGTGGCGTGAAATGTAGATGCGATTTTGGGACACATTTAGACATCTGTATCCCTTGTGCTGCGTGGAGTAGCCCAAAAACACGCACGGTTGTGAGCGAGGGGACAGTTTATGTTCGGAATAAGGATGAGTCCACGGGAAACATAGGCACCCGAAGGTGCGAAGATGCTTGATGTCCATTGAGACAGAGATACGGTGTTTGGTACGAGATTGTGGAGGACTGTAGTCTATTGACGAGGTAGTTGGCTATAGAGACAGCTTCCGCCCAGAACTGTGAGGGTAGGTGAGTGGCGTGGAGTAGCGTGCGCGTTAGTTCGATAAGGTGGCGATGCTTCCGTTCAGCCGTGCCGTTTTGCTCCGGCGTATGAGGGCAGCACATTTGATGAGTTGTGCCATGTTGAGTTAGGTAATTTTGAAAAGCAGTGCTCGTATATTCCCCGCCGCCATCCGACCGGAATTGTTGTATTTGCGTATGAAAAATGTTTTTAATCATATTACATAAATGCTGATATTTAGAAAGAACTTCAGCTTTAAAATGCAACAGATAAAGCCATGAAAAATGTGTAAAATCATCAATGAATATGACATAGTAGCGAAAACCATTCATGGAAGATACCGGAGCCAGACCCCAGACGTCTGAGTGCACAAGTTGAAAAGGCTTAGTGCAGACAGACGTACTGGACGAAAAGGGCTGTTTATGACTTTTGGAAAGATTACAAGAAATGCATAAAGATGAAGTAGAACAAGTTTTAATAGCAGAGTCTAAGCTAGCTAATTTGTGCAATGTGCGGCTGTTGAGATGTCCAAGCCTTGCGTGCCACAAGGAACCGGATGAGCCGTCTGCTGCAAGAGTTGTGTGCTTAGGCGGGATAGGAGCCGTGAGACGATACAGACTATTGCGTTTGCGACCGCGAAGGAGAAGACGTTTGTCCTGAAGATCCTTCACAGTAAATTCATTAGCATTAAACGAGATAGAGACATTGTTATCCGCAGTCATCTTAGCAACTGATAAAAGATTGTGAGATAGGGAAAGAACATGAAGAATGTTACGAAGATAAAGCTTACGATGCGACTCGGGAAGCAGCAGGATCCCTTGGCCCGAGTTCTGGATCGGAAGATTGCTTCCATTTGCTATTGAAACTGAGTCCAGCCCGTTGTATGGAGACGGGTGCTGAAGATTTGTGACGTCCGAGGTTAAGTGAGACGAGGCACCGGAGTCGACGATCCATTCGTTCGGAGGCAAGGGATGTTGCTGAACGGTGAGAGCCCTCAGATTTGACGGAAGGGCGTAAGTGAGGTTACACCTATGCCAGAAGTTGAGTGCCGAATGACCGGATTTCCCGCAAATTTGGCATTGGAGCCGAGTTGCCGGAGTTCTTGATGTGTTCGAATTTTCGGTTGCGCCTTGAGGCCATGGGAAGACCGATTTTCCTTTGGGCTTCTGATTCCTGGATCGATATCCCGTGTTCCGATTTGAGAACAGGGCAGTGTTTTCGGAATTCTGAAGTTCTTGATTGTGTTGGTGGTGAAGATTTATTTCTTCACTACAAAGCAATGAATAGAGATCATCAAGACTAATAGGCTGTAAAGATGTTCGAATTGCCGTTTTAAACAGATTGTAGGTTGTCGGTAATCCATTAAGTATGTATAGGACAATGTCTTCGGTATCCACTTTGGATCCGGCGGCCGCGATGCTGTCAACTATCTTCTTGATTTGATCAAGATATTGCTGCATTGTCCTATCCTTCATCTGAATCTGATGAAGTTCGCTCTTTAGCTGGATTACCCGCGATCGATTCGTTGGTTGAAGCCGACGTTAAAGTGTAGCCCAAATTTCTTGCGCGGTGTTGAGAGTAAGCACATATGGAAAGATCAGCGTAGAAATAGTTGACAAGATTGCAGAAATAAGATTCCTATCAACTAGTCTCCACCGATTGTAGGCGGTGGTTTCAAACTCCGGCGGGCACATAGAAACTCCGGTGAGATGTTGTTCATACCCGTTAGCGGAGAAGTGTTGATAG